TACCTCAAGCTAATTTCGGTCCATTCTCATGTTCTTCCCGGCCACGTGTAGTCTTTCGTCCTCAAGCCTTTATTAATTTTCCGATATTAATTTCTTGGAACATATTCCGCTGGGCTTTGCAGAGATGATAGCCTTCAAAGATCTAATCTACGAAAGTATGTTTCGTGTACGCAGAAAGTGGTTTGTATGAATGTAATCAATTCAGCTAGATAACCAGGTAAATACAGCTTATTGTAAAAATCCTTTTAGGGATGTGTTATTATACTTTTCTTGAAAAGCTCGTGAAGCCTGGTAAGTAAATTGACCGGCGAGAGTCATGAAGGACATCCTTGTCGCCCTTCTTGTCACACGTTCCTTATGAACATTGGACGAGACTACTGTTGCAACTAGAGCGTGTAATTACTGGATCACATCCATATTTGTATAATCAGAACCGTTCGAGGATTCTCTATGTCCAGCAATGATGGCTTTTTCTTCATAGATGCAGCCACAGGAGTACAAGCCTTTTCTATAAGCCCGTCAGGTTCTCAAGCTCTCAATTACTATAGTTATCAAAAAACTTCTAGTAATCACGGAAAAACCGGCATCTGTCATTATACGCTACTGGAGTGGGGGAAATCGGTTCCGATTTGCTTGCATGTGACACTTGCACAATTAAGAGATTGTTACACAACGTAATCCGCAGATTTTCTCACGTGCTCGAAGATCAATTGGTCCTTTAACTTCAAGCGCATATCTCAACTCATCGACTAATAAGTCGAGTGAATTTTGTCGGCTTCGAACTAAAGCGATCGAACAATCTGGCGCGGTCTAGCACAAAACAGTATTGCTCCAGAATATGTTGTTGACACCGTTAGCATCTATCTTCCGGTTCATTTTTTAAAAATTTTTAACCAATTTTTTCGTGTGTTTCGACAGATTTTAATTCAAAAATCCTAAAATGCAAGCGTTTAAAGACTACATCTGCCCATGTCTTGGTAATTCGAAGACTCCAAAAAGAAATTATTTAAATGTTCAATTCCTCAACTTCTCAGTACCGTTGTTATCGAGAAATTATCTGTAGTTAGCGTAGAACCCGCATGATCACAACTGCGAACACAGAACCTTTTCTGAAAAGTAGGACTCCTGCAGTAGTGCTTAGAAGTTAGCTGTTAGTGTGATACTTGTGGAAAAACCTTGGATGTAAATCTTAACGGTGAATAAGCTTTTGTCCAAGTCGAATAATGTTAGGCTTATCCAGTCTAAGAGCATAACACAGAACTTGATGAGCAGACAGAATACCTTGGATAACAGTCTATGCTTACTTGAAGGTGGATTTGTACCTCTAGCTGAAAAATCTTATCACTTGCAAATGTTGACAATTCAGATATAAAAGAATGAGTCTTGGACTTTGTGTTCTGCTCCACGTTGCAAAAGTTTCGCTGTCGTCGTATGAAAGTGATCATGACTGGAGCTGATGAGGAGTCCATTGAAACGACAGCCTACAACTTCAGCATGCAAGGAGTGCTCTATTACAGTTGGTGAAGCGTTGCCTCTTCAAAAAGAGCCACTATGCACGCTTGGATGTGTGCTTCCACAGCATACTGGATAACTAGCTGGATCGGTGAATTTATAGAACGCTCGACATATTCGAGAACAGAGAAGAGAACATTAGGTGGGCAGACTTCAAAATACATCATACTGATCACGCCTATCTCCACTGGAACAGCAACTGCATAATTGGAACTTAAGTATGATAGCCGCCAACTATATGGAATCAGTAGCTCTCAGATAGAAGTTATTCGTTTCCGTAGGACATTTGCTGATAGGTGAAGTATTTCAACACCAGCTTTGCGTTTTCTCTCTAAACGGAAAGAGTACTAAACCGCTTCTTACGAGTTCAATTACGAAGGTCTCGGCAGCTCATTAGGTTAACTGCATATTAGAGAACACGGTCTATAGCTGGACTCCGACCATCCACACCGTTCCGTCTAATTTGTTCTGCAACTTCAGTGCTGGGAGGGTTCAAATCTCCATCGAATTTCCTTTGTAAAGAAAAATTACTGTAAGAAAGAGCTGTGCTTTTCAACTGATCAAACTAATTCTACACCCGTATATGGCACTATACGATAAAAGTGTGCACATTATATTAGGTTAGCACTTTCCTAAGAAATACAGAAGCAATAGAATAGGACTGAGAACACGATAGATGTAGAGTGGAATAAGATAAGAAGGAGTGTACAAAGAAAATAACAAGACTAATTATAAGAGGATGCAATTGTGAATCCGATGATTAAAAACAATTGTATGCATGACTGAACCTCTCGTGCATCACAGCTGTCTATGCATCACTACGTTTCGCATCCACCTTGACAAAACGTTCACTAATAAGATCTACTATCGTAAAAAAGAAAGCTGGATGGATCTCGTATTTACTGAAACTGGAAGAAAATGTAGAGCTCTGGCAATTTTCGTACGGAGGATACGGCGGAACACTCACGAACTCCAAATATAGTGAAGCCGTCTCAACTGTTCTGTTATTTTGTTCGAAGATTTCCTTAAAATTAGAAATCCTAAAAAATAGAGGACGTAACCAACGGCGAATAATGACTGCGTAACGAAACCCCATTTGCTCAGTGGCTCATTCGAAATACAAGCCTCGATGGAGGAATATGAAAACGACACCTCATAGGCTCCAAAAAAAGAAAAAAAAATCCGTGATTCCAAATTAAAAGAACAAAACCGAAATAGTATTTTTTCGGAAACATCTGTATATCCTACCGAATTCCGTTTGATTCAACGAAACTGACTATGACCAGATGTAAGCGCATTCGTGAACGGCTCAATTATTTTCAGCATTAACACACTGAAATGCACATGGGTGGCGCAGTTGTTAGAGGCACCCTGTAATACACATATGACCGATCCCCGCCTTTCAGGCCCACCAGGCCCTTCATCCCTCCGGGTTAGAAAAAATGTTGTCAGACCCGCCTGCGAAGATATCAGCACTGGCTCGATACATCGGTAGGCCACTGCGAATCATCTATGTAGCTCAACCATGCATTCAGTCACTTCTGGCGGTGCTTGGTGAAGTCGAATGCATAGCGTATGCCGAGAGCTTTATCTTTCTTTTCAAACGGATTTGAAGCAATGCGAACAGTGAACAATAAATTAAAGGGGACGACTCAATAGTCCCCAACCACATTTGAGCTGGACGTTGTTCGTCAGCACATTAACGAGACATCCACTGTCTTCAAATGAATGATCTTCGACTCCAGTTTTAATGGTTGCACTAGATGGAATCATACATTTAAACAAAAAATAAAAAAAAGAAAAACAATGCACAAAAGAGAAAGAAGCAGTTGTGAATGGCCACTTATTTTGATCACGAACCACCATAACATTCGTAGTACTATTCGCTGTGATAGGGAACAACCATTATATTACGCGATATTCTTTTTCAAGTATATAATCATCAGTTAGGGAAGGAAAAAAGGGGTAGTGCAATAGTTAGTGAAGCCGTTGATTAGGAAGTAAAGGCGATAGTTCGACCCCAGCCCCAACGCTCTCCTCCATTCTATGTGGTAACGCCTTTGCTCGGCTATCTCCAGGAATACAAAGAAGAATTGATTCGACCAGTATTCTACGCCACTCATGAAGAGAGCGAAATTCTCAAGTAGCTGCCAAAAAAACGCGGAATGTTCGAAGACCACTGTGGACGGTAAATATGAGGAAAACGAATAGGATGCAATAAGCGTTGTCATCCACACAGTAGATGTAATGATGGATCATTTGCTTATGCATGTATGTAATCACCAGCCACAAGTTAAATTGGGTATGAACGATGAGAATTTTCGGCATACCAGAATATTGGAGACTAGTTCCTGATCAAGCTAATTGCTAATTTCGCTTTAAAGATGGAGAGGGTTAGGAGGACAAGGGACAAAGCTATCAGCATTGGTCAATTCCTGAGATATGCGCCACACATTCGACTACAGTAAGCATAGTGTGGCTGAATGGTATGCAATGACTTATGGTGGCCTATCAGTGGATCAAGTTAATACTGCTTTCCTCCCATGCGAGCATGGTACCAATTTGACGACCCTGGACGGTAGAAGGCTTGGGTAGCTCAGGACGCGGTGTCGGACCAACAATGAGTTGTGCATTGTGGAGCGCCTCAAACCACTGGGCTGCACGCGCACAATAAAAATGAATACGCAGTGTAATTCTCTTTGAAACAGAAATACAGTTCGTGTTAACAACGAGCAATAATTGGTGACAGTAATTAACAAACAAGATACAGAACAACTAACAAAACAGAACAATGAACAACTGTGAGTTAAACGAGAAATTACTCGTCTATTTCTTCAACCTTTCTTGCCTTCTTTTTCTTTTTCTTTGGCTTCTCTAAAATTTTGTCGTCTTCAACAGATTCAGCTGGACGTTTCTTCGCCCCCTGGAAACAGACCAACTGCTCCTGCGCACTTATTTCATAAACTCTTAACTTTAATTTACTGCCTATTCTTCTTTCCTGACAGGGTTCTATATGAAATACAACTATGGTGCTGAAATAGGAGCAAAACTCGGAACCTCAACTGGGTTTCGAACCGCCGACTTTCCTTAACGGAGACTGACATGCTGTCCACCACACCAACCCACTACCTTGCATTCCTTTATTCGTAATCATATTTTTGCTCTGTCGGTGCTACCAGCAATCACCCATCAACGGGACTGAGAAGGATAGTAATAGTAAAAAAAGCCGGAAGAATAAAAGTTAAGATATTGTAGTACCAACTGCAGCTTCAGCTTAACTGGGTGCAGTCTCGATTCGTGGCCTCCACTTTCCTGTTGACGGATGAGTGCTGATAGCACCAATACAGTAAAAATATAGCTGAAAAAGGCAACACAAGGACCTCGATCGGCGTGGAAAACAGAACGTGATGTCTTGGTAGGGGTGACTGCTGTTTCGAATGCCACATACAGTTCCAGGTTTTGTTCATATAACATCATTGTTTCGGTTATTACATAAACTTTTTTCCAACCTCAACTGCTTCTGTATCGCCATCAATTTCTTCATTTATCTTTCTGGCCTTCTTCGCAGCCTTCTTTCTTTTTTTAAGCACCTAAGAACATTTAATCTTTACCTAAACAATGGAAACATGATCGAATAGTTGGAAGTGCCCTACTTTTTCCTGTACAACCTTCGCCTCTTCTTGAGCCTTTGCCATAACTTCCAAGTTCTTCTGTGGCAACTCTCCAGTTTCAAAGTACTTCAAACGTTCTTCAACTTGCCCTTTAAGGAACTCACCGAATGTAGACACAGGGACCTGAACAGGAACAATTGAAGACGACAAAAATGACTACAAAAGTAATAATGGAACATTAAGAAACATTAACGGAAATCATACAAGATAAATCAGCTGAGTATCCTCTTCAACCAAAACACACTTTACTAAAGTGAGAGCCTCCTGCATACCTCTGAGAAGCAATCAATCCTGGATGCTATCGTGCACTTATTAGCAAGGAACCGTGATATTCTCCCTTTATTTTTAGCTGACGCCCTGCCAATGAATGACGAATGAAACAGGAGACCATACTTTGGTGTTGCAGCTGAAATACCGTCGATCAAAGGGAAACAGCGCAGTGCCATAATCGATTATTTGAAAAAATTGAAGACTTTGCGAAGAAAATGTGCACACGTAGATGGAAAAGCAAACGAATGGAAACAGTATTCTAATTCATCTCTAAAATACACGAAGACGATCTAGACTTTGGGTTAATCATTTATTACAGTAAAAATGTTGCAAGTGCACCAACATCTTGTTTTCAAAGCTCTAAACAGAGCTTTCTCTGCTCCAAGTATCTGAACAGTTGACGCAGGGTACTTTGCTAAGTTCGTTAGAGAACCCGCGTGTGATATGAGTCGGGCACCAACCTTAATAACAAATCATTTGAAAAAAAGAGTTTAAGCGAACGAAACAAACGATTAACATAGAAAAGTAGTTATGGACTTGTTACCAACCAATACTCTGTTTGCTAACACATCCACGCTGCATATTCTAAACAGTTAACCTGTTAATTACCTGCTCGCCAATCAAAGCACTTAGAGAAGGGGCACAGCTATGCATGCGATCCTTTATGTACTCATGTAGGCGCTGTCGATACTCAGTCAAAGAAGCAACCCGTGAAGCAAACCTGAACCAAACCTAAAAACTGTATAGGAAGATGAAATTTGTACCTGTCACTACCAATTTTTACGCCATGGTAAAAATACACATAAGATTACATAGATTATTAAGAAGAATACACATAAAAACACACATAAGATTCTACTATGATAGTAGACTAATTAGAAGTCCAGGAGAGAATGGATCACCTCTCTATGTTGACCAGATCTAGTTCAGAAATGTCCATCCCCATAGAAGTTCTAGCTGCCTCCATGATTTTCGCAACTTTTTCTTCATCACCGTCAAGAATTTCTGGAAACTAAGAAACATAGTCGCAAAGTTAAACAATCATGAGTTAGAATACGGACAACATTAATACAGGTTAAAGCTCTCAGCGTTGGACAATACGAGTGATGCGCTATACATTCGACTTCATTAAGCATCGTTAGAAGTGACTGAACGCATATCTGGGCTTTATAGTGACTCGCTGTGGCCTACCGATGTATCGAGCTAGTGCTGCTATCGCGCTAGGTAAGTCTGGCACCAATTCACTGACCCCAGAGGGATGGGAGGCTTGATGAGTCTGGGGCGCGGAGATCGATCCCATGTGCAAAGCAGGGCGTATCGGAGCACTGCCCCGCACGCGCCTCTTTACACATCATTAGGATACGATAAAGTATTTTTACAAGGAAAACTTAGCATTTTTGCATATATAACGTCCAGAATACAGAAGCAATAAAATAGTAGATAAAATAACTATGAACGGATTATATGTCTTAAACACTAACTCCGTTGGAAGCAGATTTGCACTCATAGTATTCCTTGATTCCTTGAAGGAGTACCTTGATATGACATACCAGACTTTGTAACATTAAGCTCCAAGCGTTTCTTATCGCTATATTTTCGATTTATCTTCATCATGTAATCTTAGAGCACAAGATTGTTACGCCTTGCCCTACATTTTCTTCCATATCATCACATTCAAACAAATTCCCAAGCACTATTTTCAACACGGACTAATGCAATAAACTTTTATCCTGCAAAATAGATGTAATGCCGTGGTTTCTGCTCAAACACCAGTGCTTCGTTTAAGGATAGCTTTATCCACGAACTAACGTCCATCGTTTTATTGAAAATTCTGGATCAGAAGTGCACAAAAACGTATTTGCAAGACACTACCATTACTCACCTTCGATTTCAGTCAATAAATTCTCATTTTCGCTCATCTTATTACGGTCCAGTATAGCAACGGCCAACCTCGCATACTTGTATTGGTCTGGTACAAGCTTGAAAAGTTCCGGAAAGTGATAAGAATACCTGAACCATTTCCATACTACAGACAAGATTATAATAATAAAACCGCTCTAATCACGGAAAAATAGTGAAATAGGTATGCCTGAGACCTATACGAACCACTGCGGATTTCTCCCATGCGTCTCTCATCTAACATTATCTAATAGGCCAGCAAGGCACTAGTTAGTACATCTCAATATTACAACTTCAATTTTCCCAAAAGCCCAGTTTCTTCTCAATCCTTTTCGCGAAGAAGCTTGTTCTTCAATAACTGACAAAAATTTCTCGGTCGCCACGGTATTTCAGAAGATCAGAAGTTCAGAAGTCAGAAGAAGACTCATAAAGGATGTTTTGATGTATCACAATAATTGCATACATAATTACCATACAGTCTCCCTTCAAAGCTAAATATGTTTTCAACCAAAACATCGAGAGAATTGATAAAGTAACTTAATTCTTAAACTCTCCAACGGAAAAACACAGGGACGGGCACAAACGACACAATGGTAACAGAAAATTGTCATAATTGAAGAAATTTCACCTGTTCATTTACTTTCGTAAACTTCAATTACAATCGTCGTAAAATAAGAGGTCGTTTATCCCAAAGACAAGGATTTATAGATTACGATAGGCTCTATCGAAATTAATAAAGTTCACTACGAACTGAAGTATACTGACTTAAAGTTGAAAACGGTTATTATTTTCGTGTCGTATGACATCAGTAGCGGTCACATCGTTGTCCAAGTGTTAAAAACAAAGCTTTAAAGTTTAACATTAATATGGACACTTGGATACTTAGATGGGCCGTCCTCACTGGTTGTACGATACTCAGCATAGCTTCTACTTCTTCGATGGTTAGTTTGGCCACAGTGCGTCCCACGTCGTCACCACTACAGATATTCGCCACCCTTGTGGATCAGAGATTTGTAACCAGGCAACTGATACTAGGATGGTGGTGGTTCCTGGTAGTGGTTTACTTTTAGCTGAGTTTCTGACGAAAATTTCGGACTCCTCAGCTTGGGAGGCCTTGTTGGAGGATGAATCTCCTGTTGTACATCGGTGCTCGACACCCAACACCTCCTAGCCACGATGAGGCGGTAAACCGTTAGGAAGAATATGGACACTAATGATAAAGAATGTTAATATGGTCATTTAAACAAGATATTGGTTCCAGGAAACGAACGGACAGCCCCAATCCACATCAAAAACTTCAGTGTAAAAAAGTGACGCTTGACAAGCAATTACCACAAACCACTCTCTTATACGCATTCCGAAGAGGTTTATATCCTTGTCGAGTTGATCGAGAAGAGCAATTGACTGGATCACCATGTTATCGACACGATGGACATCAAATTTCACCTTAACCGACAACGATAGTTTAGTAATCGTCAAGACAAGAATGGTTGAGAGCGTGATTTTGACAGCCTTTTTTAGAAATTACACTAGTTTTCGCGCATCACTTCACAAATAGTGGAAATTAAAATAACGTCAAGAAGGGTGACCGTATCCAAAAACCACGGCTTAGCATGCTAGTTCTAAAAAAGGTTTCATATTACAACGACTATGAAAATATTGCTGGTCTATAGTACTTCTAAAGCTATTTATTTTTGATATGATCATCAATGCAACTAAAAATACCTTTCCACGAGAATAACTGTGGCCAAGAGACAACTGAGCCTTGGCTAGCGAGTGATGAGGCAAGTTCTTTGCAAGATGAGCAAAGTGCACACGGATACCGCGTAAGATCTAAATTCTTTCATGTGCAAGGAGTTGCTCTCTTCATTGGTGTGTGATTTCGTACGGAAATCAAGTACACACCTCGGTAACAACACCTCCGAAGACAAGCTTTACACCAAGGTTCGTTTCAGATAGCGAACCCGCAAGCCTAGAATCACCAACGCCCAAAATAAGCTTCTTCTTCTTTTGAGGAAGACTGCTCTCAAGGAAATTGATGAGATCCGTGTGAACTAAGCCTATATCAAAAACGATTATAACACTGCCGAACAAATGTGTTGCTACAATAACGAAAGTTATAACGTGAAGTGAACTCCTGCATTAAGGAGAGTACCACTATGCAACCATCACCCTGGTCTGGATATATGGATATATATACTAACTTATCGGCCTCCCATGAAAGTCGTTCTTGTAACCTGCTTGGTTTTAACACTTTTCAATACGACGAAGTGCTGAAGAATTAAGAAACACTACCACAAAATCATGGTAACCAAAAGAAACCAAACACTTGGATACTTAGATGGCCCCTCTTCACTGGTTGTGCGAGCCCCCACAATAATTTCCATTTTTACGGAGTTTTGCTGGTTTAGCCACCGTGGTTCGATGACGTCCCAAGGTCAGCATAGCCAAACTCTGCCTCAGTTCGTCACCAACACAAGCAGTTGCCGCCCTTGTGGATCAGAGAAAGATTTGCCACTATGCCACTAGTTTGATACCAGGACGGTGGTGGATCATGGTATTGGTTCACAGTTAGCTAGGCTTCCTAATGGAAAACCCGAACTCCTCAGCATGGGAGACCCTGCTGGAAAGATGAATCTCCTGCTGTACATCGCAGCCCGACACTAAGGAACACTTCCCAGTCACGACTAGGCGGTAAACCGTTTGAGGAAAAAGAAAGAAATCAAAAAGTAGATGACATCCACTAAGTTGAGTGTGGTCGCTCTAGAGAAGGTAGCACGAGTTTTCTCTTATTCTGGCCTGTAATAAAAACAACAGTTGGACAGAAATACCTTCTGATATTGCATTAGCATTTTCGAGAGCAGCTTCGGTATTCTTAAATGGATCAAACGCAGCAAGTTTGACAATCCCAGAAAATTTAGACACATCGGCAATAGAAGCATCAACCTAAAGTTAAAGAAATACGACAAAAAACTGCCAAGTTTCTCAAGGTGCTAGAGGTATAGGAAGAAAAATGTGGGATACTAAACGACCAGCCTACGTACAACAACACAAGCCAGTGTCTGTAGTTCACTACGTTATCCCTTGCCTCAGACCAGACATCAGTCAAGTGACGGACGTCCCGGCTTAATATGCAAGGGGAGCTGATAGGCTGCTAGACCAAGGCAGAAATACACTAAGCCAAAATCGCTAACCTCCTGAATGACAAACCCGGCGTCTTCGAACTCTTTGATTTTCATTAGGACATATCCAACAGCGTGTTCGTAAAGCACGTAATGTGGCACTTCCGACATTTTCCAACTACACGGAAACGGAGCGGACGTGGACAGCAAATTTCGGGTTCCACGAAGGCACTGAAAAAAGAAACGACATCGTTCGACTAAAAACAGACGAGCAACAAAGCCTGAATGCTGCAAAGAAACGAGTGTGGTGGAGATAGAGAGAAGGAAAAGATGCAGTGAGAAACTGCTGAAGCCGTAGCTGCATATCATTCTCTTATCCGGATTGAGCACCGCAACCCATTAAAACGCGATTCTACAAAGTACCACTTGTCCTGAAAGTCCAGAATGATTATCGATCGACTAAAAACAAAGAGGCAACAAAGCCGGAATGTTGCAAAGAAACGAGCATGAAGAAGATGGAGACATAAGCAAAAGATGCAACAAGAAAGTACTGATGCTTTGGCTGCATATCATTCTCTTTTGCCGACTGAGCTACTACAAATCCTTTAAACACAATTCACAGAGCACCACTCGATCTTGAAAGTCCAGAAGGCTTCACAGAAATCAAACGATGGTTTCCAGCGAAGATTTCGCTGCAAGACCAACGCGCAATTTGACAAGTGTCACCTTTATGAGCCAACGGGATCGCGGGCAATACCTACAGAGCAGAGTGAGTCAGATGAGGTTGGTCTGGTTACTATTACGTACCTTACTTTTGAATTTTAAACATTTCTTAGTCTAAGGGCGCGTATGACATAGTGGTCAGAGGTGACCTGCAATACACATGGGACCGATCACGCAACTGTGGCCCACCAACCCTTCCATCCCTTCCTGGTCGGCAAATTGGTACCAGACCTGTCTGGGAGGATAGGAGCACTGGATCGATACATTGGTGGGCCACCGCGAGGCATTGTAAAGGCCAGATTTGCATTCAGTGACCTCCAACGATGTTTAGTGAAGTCGAATGTATGGCGCATCTCTCAGAGATTGATCATCGCTGAGAGCTTTTTTATTTTTAATCTCAGTTTACACAGAGCCCTTGGGTTACGTTTTTGAGTAATCTATCTGGAATTGGAGTCCGAGATAGGAGTAAATGTATCCCACGCACTGTCTGGTGAGACCCTCATTAATTTCTTTCCGAGAAGAATGAAGATAGAGCATGCAACCGAAAGCATTACTCTTTGTCTCAACTCTGGCGAGCCTCGAGGCAAGGAGAGATTAGCGGTTCCAGCTCCAGTTATTCGATAGTTAACCTGGGGCTACAAATCGTTGCTTCGACAATGTAAACGAGTACGCAGCGAAGTGGTTGGAGATGCACTGTAATACACACGTGCTCTTTGGCTCGACCTGCCCCCATGATCACCAAGTCTTCTATCCTTCGCAGTCAACAGATTTGTACCGAACTTGGCTAAAACTATAGCAGCACTGACTCGGTACATCGCTAGGCCACCTCAACTCTTCAAGCTAGGCATGCATTTTTCACTTCCTACGATGCTTGATTAAATCGCATGCTTAGCGCATCCGTCAGGGATTGATCAACGGCGAAGGGCTTTATTCCTTGTTCGTATTATTACATTTAATCCGTCTAACGGTTGAATAGCTCGAGCCCGCGCCACCATGACTCCGTTTGTCTCTGTCGCGCCAGCGCTGCTTTGCAGGTTCTGTCCGCTTGAGGAAGATCAGAGTGGCACACGTTTGTTTCGAAGCCGTTTAGTTCTACTGCTGCTGACGACAACCGATAAAGATTCCCACGGTAGATCGTTGAAGTGTGGCATGTCATAGCCCTACTCGTGACTGTACTATACGTATATTCGTCCATATGTAGTATTCGTTTTTTTTTTGAAGTCGTTTTTTTATTCGATGTGTTTACAGCTCGTCATCCCGAAAGACCTTCGGTTACCATTTGAAGATCTTGTTTTCGTCACAAATATTGTTGAATGCCAGCTGAATTGATTTTCTGGACTCCCAGTTTCCCCATCCCTAAAGAATGGAGGGTTTACTTGGCAAGGTTGAAATTGAACCAGTAAGTATAATGCAGTTATTATCCGGCTATTCTGCGGTAGCAGAACGCGTGCAAGTCGTCTTTGTAAATTTTTTCAAAGTAACGAGGCGACCGTTCCGATGATTTGTTATCTCTGGTAGAAAAGTGTCTATCACGACTTCTGTCTGTTTTGAAATCCGTTTGACCTGTTAAGAAGCAGCAAAATATTACGGGGTGCGTGCTGTCTTCTCCTAAAGCACAGATGATGTTTTCACACGTCTACTATTGCTGAATACCTGCTCATAGTAGACGGTCAGTTGAATTCAATGTCCATTTTTGCTTGTTGCATTAATTAGTCTGCCTAATAATTACTTGGATACATGAGTGGCCCATTTTCAGTGATTTGGGCTACTCGCAAAAACAGTTGAAGATGGTATGTAAATGGTTAAAGAAAGTATATTTCTGTTCGGGCCGTAGGATAAAAAGACTATCCTCTAATTCTAAATGCGCCTCAGGGCAGGTGAAGAGGCGCTTTGGTGCACGTTTAACTCCTTTCTTAGGTGGAGACACTCCACGTAGCCCCAGAAACAGTTTATCTAGGTCCTCTATGAGAGAGATCGAGGGCACGTGCGTATACTGTAGTGTCACACTTATATGAGAGCTCAGGTGCACAACAAAAAATCACAGGTTGCAGGGAAGAATCCGACGTGAAAACTGGCGAGAAATTTAAAATGTGAGAAGCGGAAGATTTGCAATCTGAGAAGATTTCGGTGTCGATGGTCGCTGTGGACCGTCAATTTGAGCGGACCAAAACAATAAACGGACGTGGCTATCAGCCGTCACCTTTCCGACCTGTGATTACTTACCCCAGTTTTAGTTCAATGATTTCCCAAGTGGTGTTGCTTAAAATTCCCAGGATTTGAGATGTCTAACTTCTCGCAGTTATGCCTTCGTTGGAGGATTATGACATTTTTATAGTGATGTTACTGTATAGGATCTCCGCTTGCTGAGGGACGACCTTGAGTTCCAGAACCTTCAAATAATCGTTTATGAGTCAAAGCTATTTTTTAAGCCGATTGAATTGAGGCAAAGTCAAATTTTATACTCTCTCACTACTTTTCTAAGTAATCGATATGTTCTATCTTTTTTCTTTCATCTTTTATTCTTTAATATCTTTTGTCTTTCTTATCTTTTACCTTCCATTGCCTTTTGTCTTTTTCTTTATCAATATCCTTTTACCTCTATTGATCAAAAGTTCAATGCTTTCTTGATAAGCAGACACGAGGCTTTAATACACTATTTATTCACACGTCTGATGTTTGTAGGATTTCGCCTGCTTCAGATCCTGAAGAGGCTAAATTGACGCTCAATCAAGTCAGTCTAACAGTTTCGTAACCCAACGAGAAAAACTCAATACATAAATTCCATTGGCATAGCAAACATTTTCTTTTAAACACAGACCGTTTTGTTCTCTATAACTCCTTCAAGCGTTTTTGGAGTTTTGAGGCATAATCTTACATTGAGAATTCGTCTGAAAAAATCTGCCAAACTCAGGTAAAAAGTCACCCTGAAGGATGTGGCGGGGTCAGGCGTGAGCACAAGGCATTCCTTGGTGCGGCTCATTTTCCGGTTTTTAGAATTAATCCAAGAAGCATCATCTCTACCGTTAGGGTAAATCATGCAATTCCGTGTTATACATGGACGCTCACACTGATTACATTTGCTGGGGTACGGTGTACGTAATTTCTTGTAAACCGTGTGGGACGAATACATAAGCGGAACGAGTAGACCACTCTGCGTGTGTAAAAAGAGTACCTAGTTTGGGAACTTAGAGTCAAGCATAAAAATCCTAAGCACGTGAAGGACAGAATGACATAATGAAGAGAATTTTGGAATAAAAATCACTATCCTCAAACAAGGATGTGAAGCATTAGGGCGCAAAACTCTTGAGGCGTTTTGAATAAATTCCAAAGATCCAAAAATGAGCAGCAAGGATGAGTGACTTGTGATCACGGGTGACCTAGCCTCACAGCCCGGGTTTTTTTGCCTTATCCATGCACATTACTCGCCCATGCAGGACTCTGTGCTGGTGGTCTCCGAGAATAACTGAAGGACTCATGGAGAACAAAAACGGCGAGTGTTTAAGAGAAGTTGTTTGGAATTCAAATCGGAATTCATGTATTAAGCTTCTTTTGTTGATGGAAGTGTTTGCCTGGGTAGATTGCGTTGTGACCTTTCCAGGATCAGAAGAATGTGAAACTACCGAGAAGTCGGCTACGGTGAATAAATGATGTAATACGAACTCGTTGTCTGCTCATCAAGAAAACAGTGAATTACTAATCAATGCCGAAGCAAATAGAAAGTCGTTCCTGGGGTTTGCTCTCTTGAGTTCCCAAAGCCGCCTATCTATTAATCTAGACATTGATAAATTTTTCCGCGGTGTTCTGATAAGCCGATGCAAGGTTACAAATACAATATTTATTCCGAAATGACTAGCATTTTCGCAGATTTCGCCCTCTTCCCTACTTGAATGGGACCAAATTGACGCACAACCTATTCAGGCAAGCATTCCCACAGCTGTAACGAAAAGAACTCAAAACGTATGGTCTTTGAGTTTTTTCAGGTACGGTTATGATAATACTTAGGTGATTGCATATCAACTGGTTTCCTTCTTATCCTTGAATTCGGCAAAATCCACTGAAACGTTAGTCATTGCGCAATATTGCGCATCGTACAACATGCTTTGCCTGTGTTGATGAGGGTGACATAGTATGGAAACGTTTGTAGAACACAGACAGATCAGGCAGTTACTGCCAACTATGCTGCAAAATGGTTAATTTTGTTTCTCTCTAAAACATAACTTTACCGAACGGTTTTCTAGCCACGAGATAACATATGCGATTCTCGACACCTCCCTGTCGGTCGGGGAACCGCTGTGACGACGTATGCGCCTAGTCAGAGTTTGTGATCAGATCGGTGTAGAAGTCTTGGATAAATGATGATTTTTTCCGCAAACGTTTTAGATGCAGCAATATTTCCTCTTCGCCTGGATGCCATCACTGCAATAATCCTGGTATGGTAACCGGCGAGGTCCTTGCGCATGATTCACACCTTCTTCCTTACTGCAATTCCATTCAGTAATGTTGTTCTTTTCTTAATATTTTCTCGCATGGGTTCTAATGCACACTGTGATTCCAAACATAAAATGGTAGTTACTGCTGCTGCTGCTGCTCAAGCAGCTCCAGATTTGTGTTTCATCTCCGAGAATTTTTGGGAACGCAAGTCCTTTAGTGACTATTTCAATCTGCCAACTTTTTTAGCATTGCTGTGAAGGTCATCAATCTTCCAAACTTTTTACGAAATAATCATATTTTTTGTTTGCTATTACATCTAAAGCACTTTATTTCGTTGCTATGATGAACTCATGAAGGAACTAGCTTAAATTTAGAGACAAAGACGATATTAAGCACGCTTACAACAACCTTTAGTTCCTTATTTATTTACAAACACTGCTTGAATCGCGTGAGCATGGAAAGTCGTTTACAGATTTCCTTTATTTGTAAAAAGTTAAAAGCAGAACCGCTCCCAACAGTTTGCCGCTTCATCGTGGCAAAGAAGTGTTCCCTGGGTGTCGAGCTGCGATGTACGGTTGGGCAAGTCGGGAGCGGTATCCGTCATAGCAGGGACTTCTAAGCTAATAAGGAGTCCGACATTTCCATCAGGAAGCCCAGCAAGAGTAAAGCAATACCAGGATCCAAAATCGTCCTGGTATCAGACTAGACGCATGGTGGCAAAACCTCTCTCTGATCCACAGGGGCGGGGACTGCCTGTTGTGGTGACGACCTGGTGAAGGCTTTCGACTGGCTCACCTCGGGACTCCAGGAAACCACAATGGCTAGGTCAACACAGCTCCGAAAAAATAGAAATTATCACTGGAGTCTGCACGATCGGTGAAAACGGGTCATCCAAATATCCAAGTAAGTAAGAGCGTAGCCAGGTAGATTTGTTTGTAATCAGATTGCGATGGTTCCCACGTTTTCCACGCATTTATCGGCAGAATTCAAAAGTGTGGTAACCGAATATCTATGCATTACAGTAACCGCTTCCTAGCGGTTACCGTATACTAATCCGTGTTGCCCTTTGACGACTGCCGCTTCCGGCGGCGCGGAACGACTTAACACTGTGCGCGAAGCGTGATGTTTGCCAGCAAATACTACCAATTGGCGTTCTTTTTAAAGCCGACGTTGTATTAGTGATTGCATGGGAACAGTGTTCTGGTTACTTCTAACTTTGCTTTCACGCAAGACGTATTTAAGCAGTTAGGTTGTGGGTAGTGCTACCAAGAACTGGTTTCTATTCTTAAACATACAAATAAAACTTTGAAAAAGGGACTAAATGACAAAATGTTATCGACAACCAAGTGGTAAAAGTATTCTAGCGAACTATCTCTCCTCTCATACTTCACACATGAAGAAAGAGCTCATCAAAGACATGTACTGAGTTGCTGAAATGTGTACAGAGAAAAAGAGGAAACGAAGGATTTACTAAACTTGGCGCGAACCAATGCCCATTTCCAGTGGCTATTAAATAGAGGGGAACAAGGTAAAACGAAAGGGTAGAGTGGTCCTAACGTTGCATATTCAGTGGAGGACTCATCGAAAGCGGTGAGTGTGCAAAGAAGCTATTGAATGTGATTGAAATCTTCGTTTAGCATTTTCTCTGCTTGGTTATGGAGGTCTTTGGCTAGGTAGACTGCAGTCAACTTGACCTTTCCAGGCTCCGAGGAAGGCGAAATCAGGCAGAATATCAGTTTGTTGTTAAATAAAGAATAAAAGAACACCTCGCGTTTGCTTAGCAAAAATGTAAAGAATTATTTGATCAATGCTGAGGTTAATAGAAAGTTACTCTTTGAGTTATTAAGTACACAGTATTCTATGTTTCCTTCCATTCGTCGTATTGGTCTCTTGGATTATTATACGTAGAGCACTCAAAATTTTCATAGCTACCGCATGTCAGTTAGCCAGCGATAGCTGCTTGCTTTCCGATGCTAATCACTTTCCCAAATAAGGAAGAAGTAGCAGAGGAATGCACCAAAAAGCATTTATCGAGAACGCCCGTTATTGGCTTAAAGTCCACCCCGTGCCCGCATTAACCTCGGCGCTAAGGTCAGACTTGCTCGATAAACAGATTAAATCTGTACATTTTGCTGCCTGACCCAGCCCACCTAAGAATTTTCTGTGATACAACAGCTTGGTAAGGACACACGGAAAAAAGGAAACCTTCGTTTTACATGTTCTTCACATTTTTGAAAATTTACACTGAAATAAAATTCTTAGGTGCATACAGGTTTGCACTCGGTTTGCATTTCCAATTGTCACGATTTAAATTGGAGGAGACTATGCCTGCTTCATCATTGCGTTGTTGACATCACAAGGCCAAGAAAATGCCGTATTCTCTCGAAAAAATTGTGCACTGCCATGGTCTAATCCTACCTCCAATGTTAACCACGCCCTCCATCACTCGGGGCTCAAAAAATTGGTGCCAGACTTGACTACAAGGGCCTATTATATCACTGACCTAATCAAATCATTGTATAGACCAAATATGCATCCAGTCATCTCCATTATGCTTAATGAAGCCGAACGCAAGAGGTACCTCCAAAAAATTGCTGAACGGCGGGCGTTTCACCTCTTTATCAATTGTACAATACCTAGCTAAAAGAGCAAGTACCAGCATCGGAGCCAGGAATTCTTTAAAACGATTTATGGATCTATCCAGCACAACACTGCGTTTATACTCTCAAACACCTTCTCACCATGAGGAGCCGTGATCGACCCTCACCAAGTAGGCAGTCGTAAGTTCGGTGACCAAGCTAGCTGGGCAAACAATCAACAATTAGTGATATGTGGTCTCATAAATTATACAATTCCACTCACTTCGTGAACAGTTTGGCCTCGTTTCATATTTCGTGCTTAGTTGCCCATCTTTTCGTGGGTGTACTACGGTTGCAAGAAAAGTGTTTTCAAAGAAACAAAAATGAGAACACCCATGTTCTAGTGAGTGGCAACAGCTTTATACACCTCGATGGCCTATTGTCATAGAATTCTTGTCTCTCATTCAGTATAAACGTCTTGGACCGATCGGGTAAGGGACTCATTTCTAAATCGTGAAGAATGAAGACTCAATTTGAAAACCAAGGAATCTATCGTAATGGTTTCTTTATGTAGCTTTCAATATGTGATCATTCAAAAATAAGTCATGTAGCATAAAGCAACTTATCTCACGAAGGAGACAGATTCATAAAACGATAGGACAACCACTGGTTGGTAAAGCACAACTGTTTGAAGACACAGAGAAAATATACGGCTGACATAGAAAGTAGACTCTTTGTGTAGTTCACTGCTCTCAGATACGAAGCTATGAGACAAAGCTCTTTAACCAAAGTTTCGCTGTACACGACACCTGTTTTGCTTTGGCTTGAATACTAGAGCCAAGAATGAGGTTCACGCAAGCTATCATGTAAACTCAGCAATTTAAACACATATTGATTATCTTGCTACCGAGGTTAAATGACGGCCAGTTTAAAAACTGTTTGGCTATTCACTGCGTGCTAGTTAACATAATACCGACTGCTGCAAGGTGGATTACCCGTTTAAAAAACTCTTATCAATGGATATTCATATCAACAACAACCTCCTTGTATAAAAGAGCGCCGCCTCGTTCGTGCGGTGTTTACTGGAGAAGATCCGTCTCGGTACGAAGATGGAGATGCCACATCGAGATAACGAAGAACTGTGGAGCACTGACTCGGATCATCGACTCAGGTGAAGACGAAAACGTCTAAACGCTAGCTGAACAAAATTTGTTATCAACCTCGTGTACACTCAACAATTTAGACAAATAGCGTAGTTTGTTCAGTGGTTGGATAGTGTGCAGGTCTGCTGGTAACATAGCACTAAAATTGTTGCACTGTTTCATATAGCAAACTTTTTCCAGAATCGATCAATAAACTTAGTGAATAGTTTGTTTTAGAGGTTACATTTTCAGGTTAGGTGACACCGTGAACGTGTAAAGAAAGATTCAAACACGATTCATGGCAACTGTCTTGTATAACTCAGTGAAAACACTGTTACTAGTCAATATAATGTATTTGTTCAGATTGTTCAGCTTACACGAGGTGGCTACCAAGTCTAAATCGGCTACCGCTTGGGCGCCTTCGTCTTCTTCGGAGTTGCGATGGGCCGAGTTGATTTTTCACGGCCGTACGTCCTTGCGATGTGGGTCTTCGAAGTTACATCAGGTCGAATCCAATGCCGTGAAGCATCGCTCGTATGAACAACCTACTTCGGCCGGATCCTTTTGTGCGGGATGATTGTTAATTGCCGGATTGAAGGTGTAGAAATATTAGTCGAATATAAAAAAATTATAACAATATTGTGTATATACTCATTTATGCATGAATACGATTATGCGTCTGCAAAAGTCACCCTAGAGCTGCATCTCAGGAAATGCACGTAGTTGTTCTTGTCTCACCTTTTAATTGTGGATTACCAGCCCGAATTCCTGGCACTTTAAGGAGGTTTGTGCAATATTTAAATAACTTAATAAAAGGGAGGATATTTTTAGCTTCAAACGGCATACAAAGATAATTCATATTTCCGCATTTTCGGTAGCACAATTTCAATTCAAGTGATTAGCAGTAGTATGTGATTCAAGTTACCGTCGCTACAAATTTGGAAGACCTGGCGAGTGGGCGTGGCTGTTGGTCGGATGGGTCGAGCCATACACGGAGGCTCGAACGGCTTGCCGACTAGTGAAGCGCGACGATGAACTACCGGTCAACACACGATCCTTCTCCCCAACTGTCGTCCACTGCGTACCGTGAGTTACACGTATTGTATTTATGATTATGGAACTTGGGAACGCCATTATAAACACCAAACCATTCTGGAGTGGTACCACCTATGTTCACTCTTTTTTGGAATCCAAGAATTATGCCGAAGTGAAAGTGCAAATCTGATGATTGACAATCTCAATCTTTTTATCTTTCTACTTCTGTTCAGCAAGCACGAGGTGCTATTTTATTTCTTTATTTACGCACAAGCTGACGTTTCGGCGGATTTCGCCTTCCTCAGAGCCTGGAAGCCTCAATCTTTTTATTTACTGCCTACTCTTTTTAATGGCAGGGTATGTCGCAAAATATAACTTCTATGATGCTGAGATAGTTGTACGTGGTGGGGAACGAAGGCGCTACTGTCCTTTCCGGGGAGTAACGCGTTCACCACCACACCATGCGGAAAATGTAATAAATTAAACTTTTATAGTCATATTTTATGGTGTAGTAATTCAGTTCTAGCTTTTTAAAATGGCAATTTAATTTTAGCTCCAGATTCGCTTTCGTTAGGGGACGTTAACCAGCTGGGCGGATTCTTCGTGAACGGTCGCCCGCTTCCGATGGCTTTGAGAATTAGAATCATCGAGTTGCACCATTCAGGAATTCGACCGTGTGACATTTCTCGACAACTCCGAATCAGCCATGGATGCGTGAGCAAAATTCTCACCAGGTCAAGTTTTTCTCCTTAGATTCACGTAAGAAAATTCTACTATTCGGGCTTCACACCGAAAAGACTACGGCCACGATAATTTCGTTAAACCTAAAAAGCAACTGGCAAGTGGAATTTCTACCGTTTTCACTGGACTGGATTGTAAACTTTTCGCATTGTACTTCTGCATCCATACAAACTCAATCGATGTTCAGAAAACAGTTCCGTTTTCAGCTTTCCGAACTGAAATGTTTTGTTTGTTGTATGTCCTGGTGCTACCCTTCTCAGTCCAAAATTTCGGGTGAGACGGTGAAGCTTGTTTGACGATGCCGAAAACGTAAATTCCTTGATCTTCATTCTGGTTGATAAAGTTAAAGATGCTTGTGAGACTGTTTAGGCGTCGAATTTTCATTAGTGGACATTTTTTTAAAACGAAATCACCTAATGGGTTGTCTCATTTCGGATGACAACACCGACCACTTGCAAGCAGCCAAAATGTAATTTCAGGTCATGAAAACCTACACTTTCTTATTTCGCAAGTATTTTTAAATAATGTTCTTTCCGACCATATACCACTGTCATGTCTAACGAAACGAATCCTCGTTTCGTAAAGGACGCTGTTCAAAGGTTTGTTGTTTATTCCACCCGAACACATTGGGGAGCGCGTTTGAACGATGCCTCGTAGGAGCCGAGGGAATTACGCGTATGAAGTTCGTGGATCAAATATTTACGATTCCATTTTAAGATAGACCGATGAGAAGAAAAAGCGGCATAAATGTCGAACTGCCAACTGAAGGATTCCTGCGGCCTTCTTTTCGGTCCTTATCTTCCTTCATTTTCTTCTAAAGCCTGGTGGAACCATGAACTATGTGTGTGGACTTTAAGTGATCGAGCATTGCTCAACAACTCATCTCGATGGTATATACTTCCATCGTTCTAAGTGAAATTTCATCTATGAACCGGCTTTAATTCAATTTCAATATGAATGATCAATGTGCCTTATTTTATTGGCCAACTAAAATTACAATATTTTTAAACTTTTCAGTCTAATTTCAGCCTTGAGACATACACTGGTGGTAAATTAGTTGGTGTAAGATTTTCAGATATGTGGAAAATGGTTCGATTGAACCAGGAACAATTGGAGGCAGCAAACCTCGAGTCACAACTCCAAAGGTGGTCGACTTTGAATGAATATTCCTCTTTTCATCACTTAATGTCTCTTATGGTCGTTCTTAAGCAACATAACATTAAGTATAGCCTATGAACACCTACTTTAAAGCATCTAAACCTAGTCTCTATATGAACCACTTTTTCTATAATTTGTTGTCGGGTCTCCGTGTCAGATGACAACGTTGACAGATGAAAAGTATTTCTTCGCACTTTCTCCTTGTGACTTCACATCCAACATTCAAATGCAATCTGCAAAACCAAAATCTAGATGTCCAGCAATTGTTTTATGAAATCAGGTAGTGGAGTACATTCGACTGCTGAAATGTTCGGATCCGGGCATTTTTTCGTGGGAAATTCGCGATCGACTTGTAATTGACGGAATTTGTAACAAGGACAATGTCCCGTCGGTGAGCAGTATAAGTCGGATACTAAGGAGTAAAACGCCTAAAAGTGAGTCACAATTGGAACTTTTTGATAGCTCATGCTTTCGACATCGTGAGCCTATCTGGTGGTGATTTTTTCCATGAACTAGTTTATATTTTAAGTTATCAGTTAATCTGATGCTTTAAGCCCAGTTAGGGAGCTTTCATCAATTTGAAATGAAACATGTCTCATTGTCCGTGTAGCTGTCATAGGTCTGTTTTTTCCTGATTGCTGTTAGGCAATTGTCAAACTGCTTCTAGAACAGTATTTTTCCACACATGTCTAAAATTTTCTTCAACTGCATTGCTTAGATATAGCCACACATTTCTACAGCCTCAGCTTATCCGGGTTCAACACCGATTTTTGCTCCCCAGATCAGTACAATCAATACCGTTGACGAGTGATTGCTGATGGCTCCGTTAGGTAGAAAAAACTGGCTCTGAGCAAGATATATGAAGGGCTCCATTTGTGCAGCGCGGAACACGTGAACCTAAGGAAATGGTAACTGCGAGTTTGAGTCCGGCTTGTGGCCCAGGTTTTGCAACCATCTTAGCATCATTGTGATCCTATTTCACACCATGCCATAAAAAAAATATTAGGCAGAAAAGAAAAAGTCAAAAATTTTGCCAAAGTGTTCGTGCTTTCAAAATGGTACAGACAGGCCATTTTAACTGTACCATCCTTCTCACATCGAACATCTCTGAAAATTTCATGAAATCGGTCAAGAAACACGCTGAGCCCTCATCTCAAAATTAATCTATTGTGTGCTACGCGATTCCTTGTCCGTATATTGTTACTGAGATTTTGAAAGCTGAAACACTTAAGAAAAGTTCCGTTTTTCAAACTCATCTCGCACGCCGTTTATTTGGATTCAATGCAGATTATCCCAGAATCTCTTTGGTAGGTAAGAAGGTCGTGTTTTTGTTAAGGAGAGCAATAGAAAACGAAAGAGGCAGCGTTCGACCGACTGATCATCTACTTTGAGTGCCGCACAGTCCGTTAATCGCTGCCACTAACGTGTTGGTCCTGAGTGAGATCGCAGCCAACATTACTCCGCTGACAAGAAGAGGTTGTGACGCAGTGGAAGAGCATCCCTGCATCTACTGAACCTTGCATTCTGTGCAGGGTACTGTTGCTAAGAGATAAGCAGTTTCAAGGGAATGTTTACATAAACTGATGTACTCATGGAGGATTCCTAAAGCAACTGAAACCATAAAGGAGAACTCTGTGACACGACAACTGTCAGAATGACTGAAGTGGTCGGGGACCAAAAGGGGCACCAGGATATTCGACAGTGTGAATCCAACGGTTTCGCATCTTACTCGTGCATTTTGCTGGTGTCAACGGTGGACTGCTTGTAGCGCATTGATTAGATATGCCCTGCAATACACCAATACATATGGGCTCGATCCCGCGCCCTACGTTCACTAAACACCCTCCCACCACCATCGAAACATCGCTGGGTCACCGCGAGTCGTTGTGTAAGCCTCAGTCACCACCAACGATGTTTGATGAAACTGAATGAATGGCGCATCTCTCAAGGACACTATTCAATGACGAAACGTTCATCTTTGTTACCTTTTTATCCACAACGTTTAGCCGAATGTGTGAGTTCGGTAGATTATATAAACCTAGAGAGGCTCACTAAGAAAGCAGTTCCGCACGCTGTTGTGCGCTGAATTTTCAGGGGAAGTTCTAACAGTGATGCAATCCTTTACAATAAAACACAAAAGTGCTGCATTAATCTTTCGCACATTCACATTATCAATGTTGTTTATTTTAAAAAATTACTTTTTTCCAGACAGTTATATCTAACGTTGTAATGAATTATTAACCCTATTCTAAGGTCTGGATCAAACATCGCTGCACTTTCTTCCTTACTCAAGATATCCACCATCCGATCACATTAACTTACAGGTGCGCTACACTCCAAATGTCGATGTTGGTGAGTTTGTCTCCTCTAGAATTAGGACAGAAAGTATGAAATTAGCAGTCGCAAAAATCACCTGCAATTTCAGAGCCTTTGGTAACCAACGTTCCTTGGGAGAATATTTGTCCTACCGGAATGTCGCATTGACTATAAACATTCGTGTAGATGATCATAGCGCTCTTGTTTGTTAGTTGGCAAAAAAGCATCCATAATAAGAACCGAAAACCTCCTTTCTTGTGGACCTCTTTAACGCAAAAGTATCAGAGGCGACAAAAGGAGAACGAAAGAAACTGAGGGCGTGATCACCTGATTTTCAACAAAGCGTATCAGTTCACAACCGGAGCGAGTGTTGATAGCGTGTACACAACTTTCTTTCGTTTCTTTTGTACGTTTCTTCTAATTTGTTTTTTTCTGATACTGAAGTATTTTGATTCGTTCAACGTAGTTCGAGCTAGCTTGTATCTCCTAACTTTCATTTGTTTTTTGATTCCGATTTTTGTGTGGTATACGAATGTTTCGATTTTACTAATGCCTGTTCACAGCATTCTCTACATATTCCTATAAACGGACTCTTATTTAATCTCGCTATGAAGAATCAATATCTTATTGTACCGATAGGCCAACACGACAATTTGGCGTTGATCAGGTAGCTTATCAGTACGATAAAATACTGATTGTTCTCCACTCGACTGTATTTGTAAACAAAAATGTCTTTGTAAAACGTCTTGATGGCCGTCCAGGTTGTGAATAAAATTCTGTTCGATTAATCTTTTAAAAATGGACGTGTGTAGCGCAGTGGTTAAAGGTGCTCTGAAATACTTACCTGCTTGACCAAGCATTCTATCCCTACGAGGCCGAAAAATTGGTTTCGCACTTGTCTGGAGGCACAGCAGCGCTGCTTTGACACAAAGACAAGCCACCGCAAACCATGATATAGGTCGAGTGTACAGACCGCATTCAATCACTTCTAACGATGCTTGCTGAAGTCGAATGCGTGGCACGTCCCTTGCACGGCCGTAGTAGACAGTAAATAAAAAATGGTTAAGATTGTGATTTCCACTTCAGCCTCAGCTTAACTAGGTTCGTTGCTGATTTGGGCTCCCTAGATCAGTCTCATTAACAGGTGATTGCTGATGGCAAGAGATCAATAGAACTAGCTGAGAGACAGGCGAAATGAAGGACCCGCATGGAGGTGGTGAACGCGTTATCCCCTGAAAGGACAATAGTGCGTTCGTTTCCTAGCGCAGACTCCTGCGGTCCGGAGTTTTGCAAATATCTCAGCATTATCTTAGTTGTATTTCACATAATACCCTGTCGTTAAAAATTATAGTAGGCAGTTAATAAAAATGGTTAAGATTGTAAATATATTGTTATAATGGCTTTTCGTTCCCACGTCCGACGTATTGCTGAGTTAAGAAGCCAACATTTGGCAAACCCACATACAGTTTTCGTAATCACGCTGCTCGACATATCTACCAGAATACGAAGTTCCCAATGAGAAACCAGTGCATGACTTTATAAAAAAGAAGTTGGTATCATTTGCAAAACATTAGTGATGGCCATTTGTCCATAAGCTCTTGGTTGAAGCTGTTTCCATAGGAATCGGCAAAACAATGGACTAATGACATTCCGTGCTAACAACAAGGCTTAGAAACACGATTGAACACACTCGGAGAACAGTGAAAAGCAATCAACTATCGCAAAGGTGCTATTTTATATCACTTCCATCGACTAAAAAGCTCTCCAATTTAGTTGGGAAAAAAGTGCTATAGTTTTCTAAATTAGAGACGTCTCTAGGTTCACCAAAGATGTATCCTTCATGGATTGCGCAGTAAGAAGCTCGCTGTTTATCAACAGCATTACCAATGTCATAAAAATAAAGGCTCAACTAGGCGACGACATATAGTCTATTTTCTATGACACAACTTTCGAGAAAGCAAGCGAAGACTGGAAACGAAAAAACATGAGTTTGATAGTGGATGAGCAATAGCTACATCATCTTGCTGCTGATATCATTTCCCCAACATCATCTTACCAACCAGACCGATTAAATGTGAATGATTTCAAAGACTACTGTCTTAAGAACGATCCTCGACTGAAGAGAAAGATGTTAATGGCACGCTCATTTTTTTCCGATCTCTATTTGCAATAAATGGAAAATTTTCCTGAATATCCAACTATTTGTGAGCTACTGTGCTGAGAAGACGATGCAATAACCGACCTGGTTCGGACAGTAGAAAGCCCAGCTCTGCTCAGAGATTACAAAGCCATCAAAGGGGTTCTAAAGGGAAATAGGGCCATGCGTCTCCGTGCTCCCCTTTTCCACGCCAAGTTATTTTCTGCTTTACGGTGGCTAAAAACCTAGGAAACCTGGACGATCTCCAACAGGATGATCATTCGGCTTTATCGAATGCGTTACGGAGGTTTTAATGAGCACACTATGCCGTGTCACCCAAATGAGAGATAGGAAAGTTTCAACACGCGTCGACGATTCAATACCAGGAAGCTGGAACATAGGCGAAAATGTCGGAAATAAGGTAAGCCGTTTAAACGATTTGCCGATATGAGATTCGCAGACCATCGACCCCACGTTCAGACTTCGACGCAAATACTCTAGACTAGAAATACTATGTTCGATACACTTAATCAAGTAGAAATCGAGAGCTCGTTCCTGCGGCTGGAACAGATAGAGACTTCGTTGGCATCCATCCGACTCTCTTAATAACTAATTGATATATATATATATATATATATGCTTAAAAGACTTGGCAGAAAAATGCTGACAGTCCCTGAAAGGCTAAACCAGCTATGAAGGTCACCAACAATCTGTACTGCTGTGCTCGTGAACTGTATCCACTGTTTGGTAAATCAGCTGCAACAAAACACTGTATTTTCGTTCCGATGCCATTTGCAACTAGTCGTAAGTGTCAAACCACCACCCCTTCTATCGGTGGGTTCATAGATAAAATGTAGGACTAACATAACCTTAAAATACGGAAGTAAAAATAATCAGAACCGAATTGGCCAAGGTTCGGAATTTTTTGAAACACTCACTGATCTGCTCAACATTAATTGCAGCGAAATTCCTGCCACTGAAAGAAAAAAGGAACATAGGTTTCAAACTTCATTTATTTAAATGATGCCAAATTTTGGTGCACTCCTCTGTGGATGGCCTTTTATTTAAATTGTATCGTTTTTTTGATAAGCTTGCACGAGGTTGATAAATATATTTATCAACCTCGTGCAAGCTTATCAAGAAAGAATACATATTGATTAGTCACACCGAGGTTTAGGGAAGGTCGGTTTCGAAATGTATCGTTTTTGTCAGTACAATGAATTGGACATTCAACCAAACACAGCTGCTGGTGGCTTTCATTTATTCGTTTCAGTTGTCTGCAGTCCATATATCAATCTTTGTTTCTTGTGACGGTGTCGGATCAGGAGGTACCTTAAACAAAAATCATTCAACGATTGCGGTAGATCGAACCTTGTGATAACGACGGCATTATTCGGTCAAAATATGAAAGAGTGACAGCCCCATCTGTATCAAATCTCACCTGTCCTCCCATTGATCGCTGTTCGACTCCAGCGGGCGCCAATATACCTTTCATTTTTGCCACAGTGTGCGAGAGTGGCCCAGTGGGTTCTGCTCGCTCTAAGGACTCATTGAGCATCATATCTTTCTTCTAAGCTTTCCGTGAAGAACTCTGTCTATTGGATCGGTCCATTGGTTGTTGCCATGTCCATTGGTTGTCGTTTATACGCATATGTCCGCCCCGCCACAGTTTCGCATAAAGAGCGGCGTCTTTGATTTTTGACCCTTGACGTAGATCAGAGCTGCAAATCTCCTCTCTTACTTACGTGATACGGGATACTCCCAGAATCGTTCTTTCGACTGCGCGTTCTTTAACGCCGAGTGTGATATGTCACCCTGCTTTCGCAGAGAGTGGGTTTCTGGGGCATACGTTAAGACAGGAAGAGTCGCGGAGCCGAAAAGGTAGGCACGGAGTCGGGTGTTCTCTGTTCCCTTCACTACATCCGCTCTTCAGATCAGCCCCCAGCCACCCGCAAACTCCTGTAGAGCTCAGTCATAAATCACGTTGATTTTTCAACCTAAATAGATGTAAGTGGAGCATTCGGCGATATTCATTTCTTTAAGCGTGAAAATACGTAACCAATACGTTCCTCTTGAAGATCGTTTTTGTGATATTTAGTCGAAGACCAATCTTTCCACAGGCTTTATCAAAGTCGGCAAGCATTCGTTCCGCTCAGCTAATGTTTGGTGTTGTAAGAACGATGTCTTCAACAAAGCGAAGGTGGTGCAATTATCGACCAGCGACATTCACTCCCATGTGATCCTATTTCAATGTTCGCATGACGTTCTCGAGGGTGGCGATGAATAATTTTAGCGAGATAGTACCGCCTTGGCTAACCCCTCTTTTGACGTCGATGTTAATATCGTTGTAGAATGGTGATATCTTGGTTGTGAAATTTTTGTATAGCTCATGAAGATTCTTTATGCACTGAGTAAAGACTCCTTGATTATAAAGGGCTTCCATGACTACTTCTATCTCAGTTAAGTCAAAGGCCTTCTTTAAATCGATGAAAGTGAAGCAGTGCGGTCTTTTGTACTCTCTCGATACTTCAATGAGTCTTATTGTCCTACTGAATCCTCTTTGAAACCCTGTTTGCTAACGCGGCTGTCCTTCTTCGAGTGTTCTGTGGATCTTCTTTAAGAGGACTGCAATGAACAGCCTGTAGACGATAGAGAGCAAGCAGATCGTGCGGTAGGTACCGATATCGTAAAAGTCGCCCTTCGTGAACAATAGCGTGTGAAGAGGCGAGCCAATGTGTTCGTGAAGTCTGGCGGAAGGTTCTTCAAGTGTTCTGTTCCTATCCTGTCCGGATCTGGTGCTGTTCGATTTTTGCCCACTGAAACAGCATGTCGGATTTAGGAAGGGAGAACCGGTGGTGAAACATATTCATCCTCTTTTATTTAATATGAGGGAAGGAGGACGTGGTTGTTTAAGAGATCTAAGCAGTAGTCGTGAATGGTTTTCTCTATTGCCTTTATGGGCGCTGAAGTTGTTCAACCCAGGCGTCGAAGTGCAGCCTTCTTGGTTTTTTAATTGGAGAAATTTTGGTGGGCTTTGCGAATGCTTCTCCCAGGCACTGTAGCATTGTTCGTATTTGCTGCTGCATTGTTTTGTAAGTTCGGCAGTGAGTTGGCAGTTTCCTGTAGCTCATGCTATTTCACGTTGGAGTACCAGCTCCAATGTTTCTGAATTTCTGGATACAAACGTCTCTTGGTGACTCCCGACCTCTCAGAATTCATAACGCTAACGTGAAGATGTTTAATGAGCCGATTGTATTAACGTCGACATTATCAAGAATGACATCTTTCCAACAACTAGTTAATGAATTAGGTGAGTCTCAGTTTACAGTGGTCTGAAGTCGACTGATGGCCTATGTAGATAAGCCTGCAAATTAAAAATCTTTCCGCTGCACTGTTTAACAGAAAATAGCAGACTTGTCGGTTAAAAAAGCGCATTGACTTCTCCTCAAGTTGCCCTTTACGGACGGTCGTTAGACCAAGATCAAAATCGTAGTTCAGATCAAAGTGATCCGTTAGAATAACCCTACTTATGAATCAAAAGGTGTGGGACATTTCCAAAACATTGATATAGCTCGTAGTCTAAAAACTGTGATCAGTGAGTAAATCCAGTACTACTTTAATGAACGGCACTTCTAGAAATCTGATCTTTCTGCGTGCTCCACCCTTGCAAACCGCGATTTTTTAGATAACTAATGCACTAATGAACAAGACCGAATAAAGCGTCACATACGTGTGAAGGAGCTTCCGTGTGCAACGTAAAAAACGCTGGAGTCAAACAGGAAGGGTTTGTCATTTACTCTCTTCCACTGCTAAAGCTATAAAACTCGATTTTTTTGCGCAGTTGTAGTTGCCTTGGAGTATTGAGTGGAACAAATAGATGCGATAAACATTGAAGATCCAAGACGAAATGAAAATTCTCGAACAGCATCTGACGAATTAACACACCATGTCCACAGTAAAATATAACACCCAAGTTGCACTGAATTCAATGCAATCGACCCGAAAATGACAGCGTTTCAAGGCCAAACCAGCATATCTCAGCTCATATTGAATTACTATTATTTGCGACAAAAAGAACTTGAAACTTGCAGATCTTGTCCTTCAAGGTGCAAGTTATTTTGTTCAATAAAGATAAAGTTCTTATTTTCTGGTGCCTCGTTAGACATAGTTATTTCAGGTTTCTTTTTGCATTAAATCTCACATTTCGAAAACGGAAACCATTGAACAAGCAGAAGTCCTACCAAAAGAACAAGATGGTGATAAGTATGCATCGCCCATGCGTAAAAGTGCGCTCATAGGCTGGAAATTTTGAAATATTAAGAAGGATGAAGCTGTCCTCATTGATCAATCCCTAAAGAATGCGTCATGCACTCACGTTATCGAGTATCGTTAGAGGTGGTTGAGTGCATATCTGGCCTTCCCAATGACTCGCCGTGACCCACTGATGTATCGAAGCAGTTCTTGTATTCTCTAAAGCAGCTCCGGTTCCAATTTGGGGATACCGGAAAGATAGAAAACTTGCTTAGAAGTGGACGCAAGATTGAACCCGTGTGTATTGCAGAGGGCCTCTAGCTAGATCTAAAAATTATATAACCAAAAGAATATATACGGCAAAGCCTTTTCTAAAAAACTGTATGGTTTCCAATTTTTCAAATGCTCTGGCGATCCAGAAACCAGCTCTGAGCTTTTTGCTTTGAGCTTTCTCGACACTTCAACGTGAAAGCCAATTCCCGAAGCTTGGAACAGAAGAAGCACCTCACCTCCTCAGTCCTGGCACGAGATTTAGCCTCTTTCCGCATAGCGTCCAGCTTCTGGACACTGACTGTCTTCAGCGGGAGCAGCTTCGGTTTGCAGAAAATCGGTGTCATCGCCTCGTCCTTGAACAGAAACGCATCGACGGCACCGAGTGTTTCGCGAAGGTTCGACATCGGTGGTGGCCAATCTGTACGAATCCATAATTTCTACAAACATCTTCAAAGCAAGAGCACAACATTCAAGGAAAGTTGTTGTTGCAACGGCTGTTAAAGACCTATTGGAAAAACCACAAGAACAAGGTCGATCATAATTGGGAGGGAGAATATTGAAGCGTGAGAAGTGATAAAAGAAAAACAAAACGAATTACTAGTTGGCTGTTGACAAATTAATCACTATGATATTGGTTAGTCAATGGATAACTATGAATTGTGGGAAATAATCTTCCTCTTTATTTTTCAGAACAATCCATCATTCTCCGAAAATTTACCACTTTAGTTTTTCTAGTTACTCTTACAGGCATACACTATGTATTAATAAAACAAAGTTTAACCTTTTGATTGCCACACCGAGCAAAACCATGAATGCAACGCAAGCCTTAGAGAGCGGAGGATGTCCACACAAAGAAAAGTACTCGCGAAAAGTACCTATTTCCAAACTACGAGACGATAAGAATGAATGAAATTCATAGGTGGAAGAGTTAAAACTAGAAAAGAGAGGAGTTGAAGGGAGCAGAAACAAAAAGTGGTGACGGAAGTTGCACAATAGCAAAAAAAACTCTGATCTGAAATTTCTCTTTCTGCTGACTTTTTTCACGTTGAGACGAAGAGCAGGGCGGCGATGGACGAAGCGGCAGCGTGAGGGTGCATGGGACCTCGCCGTCTCCACGGCGACGAACGCGGCTGATGACTCAAGCGCCGGGAGAAGTTTTCTTAAATCATACCGAACGGTATGAAAGTAAGAATGATTCGTCCGTCCAGTTCCGATTATTCTCGTACTTGTCTCGAGTGCGAAAATATTCAGGAAAATTCGAACAGTGTAAATCTCGTTTTTATCCTCATTTGCAGAGAAATCGTTCCCCATTTAGATGACGGTGAACTACTAGTTTAATTAACATGCGCCTTACCGTTTGCACTATAAACGTTTCAGGTGTTTCCTTTGTTAATTCTTCATTTTGATCATGGTGGTTCAGTTCGTCTACGTCACTTATCTCGTTGTTGAATGGCTTGAGCGAACGTCAGAAATATCTCCATTTGTCATTGTCGCTCTCCAGGGTTGCTTAAGAAAACTTGCTCGCTTGAGAGACGAAAAACATTATTTTCTCTTTGCAAGGTGCCTTGAAGATTCGACTATGCGGTCCTCATGGTGTGTACTTGACAACCTATGAGACCTTGTCTCCAATGCATCCTGTCCATTGACTGTCCTTATGATGCAAAGATGTGTACGGTCCAACTGATCTCCGATATATTTGTTTATATCATCTGATCTTCTTAAGCTGGTGCGAGGTTGGTACAAGTCTTCGTTGTCGTTGTCGTTGTTGTTGGTGTTGTTGGTCGATGGCTGACGTTTCGGCGACTTCGCCTTCCTCAGAGGCTGGACGTATTTTATATTTGAATATTTTTATTATTCGGTGGAAAAAGGTTAAAATATTAATGAAGGTCAAACTTTTAAATAGACGCCATATTGAACAGAAATGCCACTCATCGTGATGGTTACGTGCGAGACTGGCCCACACGTAGTTCAGGTGGGGTCCCGAGCAAGACACACCCCGAGGTCAAAATATCATTTTGAAATGGGGCGCCAGGTCACGCGTGATAGTGAGACATTCGTCTTTCCAGCTCATCTTTGAATTTTTGAAACTTATCCAAAACGCCTCAACAGTTTTGCGCGTTGATGTTTTTGATTCCTGCGCTAGGATCCGCACAGTCACTTCAAAATCATCGCCGTTGTGCTTTTGTGCCCTAGGCATACCTAGAGGAGTGTTTAGGCGGATTTTAACTTTCCCATCTAGATGTTCTTTTATGCGGACACAAAATGTTCTACCCGTTTCCCCAATATATTCCTCGCCGCATGCGTTACATGAGATCAAGTATATTATACCTAAACTCATGCAATCCCCGTCTCTCCCATTAGGACATATTACACAATCTTCTGGGCAGCACAAACGATCAGACGGGTGGTTGCGAACCAATCGACGGCGTAGGGTGTTGGGTTCGAGGTCGATTATTTATGCCGAGGTTTATAGAAAGTCGGTCTTTTGAGTTACTTCTAGCATCGTTCTTTCGATTGAGCGCTAAATAACTCTAACTGATCTTTCATCCTGCTTGCACGACGACCAGATTTCTGACGCACTCGTTGATGCAGGAAGAATCCTGGAGTCGAATAGGTGGGCACGGTTTCGGGTGTTCTTTGTTCTCTTCACTACATCCCCGATGCTCTTGAAAGCTCCCCAAGCCGCTCGTTTCCTTCTGCTCAGCTCTAGAGCTAGGTCATTCGTCATATTGATTTTCTGACCTAGTTAGATATAACTGGAGCATTCAAAGTTATTCGTTCCGCTGAGCGTGAGTGGCGCATACAAAACCGATCCGTTTCTTATGAACATCGTTATTGTGAGATTTAGTCGAGAACCAGCCTTTCCACAAGCTCTATCAAAGTCGCAAAGTACTCTTTTCTCACGGCTGATGTTTGTTGTTATCTGAACGATGTCATCAGCAAAGCGAAGATGGTGTAATTCCCGAGCATCGGCTTTCACTTCCATGTTGCCACATTACAATGTTCGCATGACGTTCTCGAGAGAGGCGGTGAATATTTTTGACGAGATGGTATCGCCTTACTTAACACCAGTGTTTTGTCGTCGATGTTAATACTTTCTATTCTTGATAACGAATATTTTGCTTCCAATGCGATTGAATTCTTGGTAGGTTTTTTTCTGGTTCCGATATGGAGGTGCTTCTCTGAGCAGAATGAAGTCAACTTGACCCTCCCAGGTTCTGAAGAAAGCGAAATCCCCTGAAACACAAGTTATTTTTGTGACTGAAAGGTGCAAAAACCAACTTCACTGTGGTCATCAGGAAAGCTGTGAGTTATTTGGATGATGCTAAAGTTAGTTGAATGGCGGTCTTAGAAATTACTAAAGTAAGTGTTAAATTGACTTCTTATTTATAGAAAATAACCATTGTTTTATGCGAACGTGTTTTTCGGTTTTGAATTGGCTCATCCAGTTGTACTGTGTTTCTACGATCGCCGGAACGAGGAAGCTCCTCCTGGAGAACCTATAGTGGTTCGAAATAGTTTTATAATTACGTATATTATGGCTGCTAAAGACTAATCCTTGGTGGTAGAACGTTTTAGTTTTTTGCTCATAGCAAAGCACGGTACGAAGGGTGTTGGTGGTATCAGTTTCCACGCCCACACAATACACAGTAGGCAGATGCTTATTTACTTTGATATTTGAGTGGCCCGTCTTAACGGGTTAATAATTTGTGTAATTTCACAACATGATATCTACTCGTTCGGAGTTTCCCTCGTTTAGCCATTGTGGTTCCCTGCAGTCCCGAAATGAGCCTAACCAAAGTCTTCACGAGGACGTCTCCACCACAACCGTGGCCAACCTTCTTGATCAAAGAGAGATTTGCCACCAGTGACTGGTTTGATACCAGGACCTTGCTGGATCCTGGCATTGGTTTACTTTTAGTCAGTTCTTCCCATCTTGGGAGACGCCGCTGGGAGGATGAATCCCTCTACATCTCAGTTCAGCACCTAGGGGCACCTCCCACATGATGAAGCGGTAATCGTTGGTGGGTTAATAAATACTTGATGAAAATAGCTAACAGGAGGCTTGAACATCTGATTAGGACAAACAGTTTTGTTCGTATTCTCTTGAGGTGCGAACTGCAAACTTTAAATGTACACCATTTCGAAAAATTAATTTCATGAATACGCATTTTTGCAACTTAGAAATTGTGTGCTTTTCTGATTCCTGTGAGACATGCAGACGTTCGATGTGTCCTGTTTTGTCTTCGGGTCGACTACTTGTTCTTCCTCGTGCATAGTTTTCAAGTTTATTATCTATGGACTTTATCCTCTTGCGACTAATACGTGCCCAATTGGTTACGAAGAAAAATCCCCCGCTTGATTCTAAAGGGTTCTTACCACATGGCAAGGTAGATCGCTGTTAGTCAGTGTATTTTGAAGGGTTTCAAGAAGTAATGAAGCCTCCAAAGTGCAGGAAAGAAGTTTTTGAAAACAATACTTCGAAAAATTTTAATTTAAAAAGTAAAAAACTGTTCACTGTAAAATCATATTTCATCGTCTATGTGAATTCACAAAGTCGTTGGTCAATAAGTTCTGTTAGTTTCCAATTTGTGCTTCTCGTAATTAATATGCTACTTCCTATTCCTTGATAGTGCTCACCCCTGCATTCTAGATGCAATTGAAAATGTCTGTAATACTTTAAAAGGTTTGTTTAATGTTTAAATTATAAGCGCTGAGTATTGCGAGAACAGTTTTATTACAGAATTGCGAACGGAACTAGAAAAACAGTTAATGACTTATAGGTGAGCAATGCTGGTAAGTTTGGGCTGTTGGTTAGTGTATAATGCTGTAATTTTTGCATTTTATAGCATAACGTTCTGAATTTAGCTGGAGATAGGCTAAACGAAGGACCCGCATGGTGTGAACTTGTTAGCCCCCGGAAAGGGTAATAACGAGTTCGTTCCCCACCGTAAACACCTGTGGTCCGGAGTTTTGCAACTATCTCAGCATTATTATTGCAGCATTCCATATAATACCTTGCCCGTGAAAAATTGCAATTACTCACGAGAATAGACTAGTGTCTATAACTCTAAAGGCGAAATTTTTGTTATGCGCGGCATTGTTCAATAAGCTAATGCTTCTTTCTCGAGCAGAGATACAAAGTTATTCGACAAGACTCGATACTTGCTAAGGCTTCGATGGTTTCCTCAAACCCCAAAGCTGGAAAGCTGAGAGGTAATCTACTAATCTTATTCACAACCTAGAAGGAAAAAACTCAATGCCTAACTTTCATTGCATAGCAAAGAGTTTCTTCTAAACACACACCGTTTTCACAATGTTCAACAACGGCGGAATATTTTTGAAATAGAAATAAAATAATGCTAAAATATTTGCAAAACATGGAACCCAGGTCTGATTCTAACCATTGCGTGAGCACTCTTTTCGGAGGCCCGGAGGCTTAAGTGTTACCTACTGCACCACTGAGGCCTTCGCCTTGCTTTTCTCTCATGCAGTTTTTACAGCAAGAGTGCCATTAAAAATTGTTAGTGAGAAGGGTAAAGTGATGGTCTCAGCAGTGCAGTGGGCAGCACATTTACTCCTGTCTGCACCTTTGTGGTTGTATCTAAGCTGTTTTTCAGTTAATTGATCAACTGACTTTTCATTCATTTCATTTATTTTACTTTTTTATCTCAGCGTCTTTAATTTTCTATTGATTTGTTCAGCGTCGAAATTGGTGCTATGCCCAAAACATTGAGATGATTAGCGTATCTCCAGATATTCTTTATGTCTATGTCGGCGAACCGTGGCAGTGAATAAAAATTCGGTTAAGATCGAAAGCAAAATGCCCCAAACCCTCTTGCTTCCCAACTTAGAGAAACCTAACAATTTACTGAAATCCGGCCCACATGCTGCCAATGTTCTGGTGTTGTCCGTTTTTTTGGTCGCGAGGGTGCGATCTCTTCAAAGTTTTTGGTACAGAACTAGACGGTGAATGTTAAGTATCATACAGAGCAAATGTGCAAACTTGCAGTTCCCGCGAAGAAAAAGTGGCCGGAATTGTTCAGAGTCCTTTTTTCGCTATGACAAGCTCAGCTTGTACCGTGCTGCCACACTTTTCCAGTCGTGGTCTGGGTATAGCTCCCTCAGACTGCCATTTTCTCTGCGTCGTGAAGCACCACTAACGCTTCAAAAACTTCCACGACTAGGATAACATTAGGGGTGCTTTCGCTAAATTCGAGTTTTGTTCTTGTTTTCCAAAAGGTGTCGCATATTAGCATCACTTCGCGAATGTTTCCAAGATGAAAGTTCGTCTTTATGCTTCATGCTATTCAGGAACAGGCTAAGATGTGCGTGACTGATTGTGCAATGTACCTTAGATGTAAAAATTAATCACCAATAAAACTCTAACTACTTTGAGACATTCATATCCAATAATTTCTTTCCAAAGCACTGAGAAAATCTTCCACATTTCTATAATCAGTCAAACAACCTTCGAACAACCGTACATGGAATAATACCCCACTACGAACAAGTGCTCGATCAGTGAGTGGTGTGCCACCACTTAAATACAAATTGAATTAGTATCGAAACGACAACTCCACTAGCAGCAATAATAAGGTCAACAATTAACGAAAGAGTCTTGATTGTTGTCATATAAAATCTAGAAAGGAAAGTGGTATATATTTCCTAATTATTTAAAAATAGCCTAATTAGTATGTAGTGCTGAGACACTTGCAAAGCTCCGGACCGCAGGTGTACGCGGTGGGGAACGAACACGCGCTGTTGTCCTTACCGGAGAGTCTGTTAGCATCCCGTGTAACACTTACTTTAACTATTACTTCCCCTCGTGGCTCCGTCTTATAGCCACCAATGACTTGGGTCAAAAACCTCATCGTATCTGTGGAAATATGAATTTGGCCAGCTGAAATGCTCTCATCAAAAAAATTTATAGTAAAAATAAAAAAACTCCAGAATCTGGGAAAACGGAGAAGAAGCGCATGAGGGATGCTCACGTTTTCCATTGCTCTCGATTCGGCTAGCGGTGTTAACCGTATCACCGAACAAACAGTATCGAGGCATGATTATCCCAACCACACCGGCCACTACTGAACCTAGAATAACTGCACATTTAGACGTGAAGATCACACCAATTAAGATATGAAGAAGAAGAAGGTATGGTTAATTTCATTTTGGTTAATCACGCACCAGTAAGGATCCTATATGAATCTAGTGTTACCGAATCAGACACTAATGTCCAGTAAAATTTCCATTCTGCTGTTCATTAGCTGTATCACTTTTCCTTTCGTTTATCATCAAGTGCACCGAATTAGAATGCTAGTGTAGTGAAAACCAAGAAATAGAAGATGTCAACTTCCATGGTATTCTTGTATGCTTCCTAAATCGCTTCTTTGTTGCTCAGCTACGGAAGCAAGTTGTTTGTAATCACTTCTTATTTACCACCTATTCTTTTTCATGGTAAGGTATAGTGTGAATTGTAACCACAGTGATTTTGAGATACTTATAAAACTCCGAACGTTGTGGTTACAACTCGTGTCACACCCTGCCATGAAAAGGAAAAGCAGTAGATAAAAACTGATTACATTGTGATTTATAACAGTTTAATTGGGTTCAATGCCGACTTGTGCTCCCCAAATCAACTCCGTTGATGGGTGATTGTTGATAGCTTATATAAAACACGGTTGAGAGAAAGGAGAGACGAACGGCCTGCATTGTTTGAGAATGACGTTGCCGTGAAAACACGCTGTTCCATTGTGCTTACCGTAGACTTCTTATAAGATCGCCAAGTATTCAATGACAATCTCCTGATTGTCTGGTGCATTTGCAACCTTTCCTACTCTCATGAAAATAAATCAAAACTATTGCCAATGAAACTGATACACAGCCGTATGTCGTGCCTTTGCAATACTTAGCCGGGTTTCTCGGCTACGTAGAAATACTCCATTTACACTGAACTGTCAACGGAATTGCTGATGGCAAAAAGATCGATAGAACTAGCTGAGAAACAGGCAAAACGAGAATCCCCGATGGTGTGGTGGTGAAGTGTGCTGCTCCACGGTAGGGGCAACAGCGCGTGTTCGTTTCCCACTGCATACGCCTGCGGTCCGGAGTTTCGCAAATATCTCAGCATTTCATACGAATGGTCCTTGTATTAAAAGATGAGTTTGGGAAAAAATTGGAAACTTGCTGGTAATCCTTCACTTTCTCCGGCCGCGTTCTCTTTCGTTAATTCTCAGCGTTTTCGTGATTTTAAATAACATGCGATACTTGGATACTTGAATGACCTGTCTTCTCTGCGGGCCACAGCAAAACTGCCATTTCTTCGGAATTTTGATGTTTTATCTATTGTGGTTTCCTGAAGTTTCGAGGTCAACTAGTCAAAGTCGTTCTAGGTTTTCACCACTTCAGGCAGTCGTAGCCCTTGCAGATAAGAGGAAGATTTGGCACCATGCGACGAGTTTGATACAAGAATGGAGGTATATCCAGGTATTGGCTTACGGTTAAGCACAGTCCAAAACTAATGTCAATCATTCATTCGTTCACCATGCTATCGCTACCTTTCTGGACAAAGGTAAGGCTTCGATAACCTGTTCAGGTACAAAAAATAGTGTTCTACTGCGGTAATAAGTATTTACAGAAATTTGCGCAAACTGTTGCAAATCTTCGTACTAGGTCTCGTAAAGTTGCTGAAATTATGTTCAGTGTCTAACCTTGTAAGCATCATGTTCCTCAATGATTGCGTCAAACAAGGTGTAAAGGTCGTTCAAGAAGCCGATCACCTAGTAATGATAGGCAGTTTTCTGCTGCCTAGTTCGAATCCGAATTAACGTTTCAACCTGCCTGCAAAGGTGTGCACTACTGGCCAGAGTTGTGAATGACACCACATCCGAGAAGAACAGCGTCGCACACTCAAAAACCTCCGGCTCCACTGATTGACCCAGCTTCAGCTTCTCCGCTACTTGTCTGAAAGCAAATTTGCGAGCAAGTGTGTATTTGGTTTTAAATGGTAAGCACTTCGCTTCGTGGCACAATGCTTGGAGGCGCCACTGCGGCAGACATGTGGGATCGATCTCTGCGCCTACGGCTCACCAAGCCTTCCATCCCTCCAGAGTAAGGAAATTGGTACCAACTCTTTTGAGAGGGTAGCAGTACTGGCTCGATATATTGCTAGGCCACCGCGTGTTATTGTGAAAGCCATATATGCATTCAACCACCACCAACGATATTTAATGAAGTCGAATGCATGGCGCACCCCTCTGGGATTGATCAGCGCCGAGAGCTTTATCCCTTATTTTGCTTTTTAAGTGCTTCGCTGAAAAATTATTGAAAACAAAATCAAAGTAAACTGGCGTGTCACATGAGCTGTGCTTCATTGGGATCTGATCCTTGTGTTTTCTTCGTGAAATTTGTCAAAGTACAAATCGAGGAAGCCAAAAATTTAAATTCTGATTTGTCAATGACTTATTGTTACTTTGTTAGCTTTAAACGGTATAGATTAAAGATGAAAATAATAGAATACGGAAACGAACTTTGGTAGCATTCGATAGAGAAGGATGTCGGCTTTTTTCTTCTCTTCAGTGAGTTCTCTCATTCGAGCTTGAATCTGCAAAAAGAATGGACGGTGATTGCCACAACTTCAGCAGCTAGTACTATTTCTCTACTACATAATACTGTTGGTATGTCCGTTCAATATTATAAAAAGATCTATTTCAATAGTTCCTTCTTAGTAATTTGCATAGAAAAAGGAAGAGTGGGAAATAGTTCAGTTCATCTTCCAAATTTGATGCGCACTGCTCTAGTATGTTAAAGACATGATCCATAAGGCTCGAAGACCTAAATAAAGCGAAAATGTTTCTTTTCCAGTTTAAACTGAGCAGAAATTAAATTTGGCGCTTCATTTTTGCGCAGACATTTTCAAGGGACTAGTTCAAATCGGGAATTCCTATGTGATTTCTATTTCATTGCAAGCATCATAATGTGTTTTGTGCAGTCAGAGGAAGCTCTTATTTCGAGGTAAATTGAAGGATTTCCTCCAAAATGTGTGATTCGCCTCGTGCCCGGTGTGTTTAGAAGCAGAGTCTAATTGGTAGATTTGGTGTTTGGCACCGACGAATGGTAGTTCTTGTAATTTTCGTCTTTTTTTAAAAATTTTTTTTATGCTTTTGTTTTCGTTTTTTCTTTTTTTGCTTTACTAATTTAACCTTCCTTATTGTTTCCTAACCTAGAACTACTATTCGATAACTGTCGGGAATGCAGACAGCATTGGTGAATTTGGTTGTAGGCGTACTTTCCTTATATCAATATATTTGATAAGTAGGTAAGTTCCTTTCAAAGTACAAAAGCATTGTTAGAGTAGTAGAAATAGTTAGCCAAGTATAAGAACTAGAAATGCTTACTTTTTGTCGTTCAAGCTTTTCACGAACTATTTCACTTGGTCACAGGACGGTCGCTCATCGGGCTCTTCACTCCAGCAGTCCTTCACCAGCGCCAACATCCTCGAATTTTGGTCATCCACTGTGTTCAGCTCTGGTCTGATTGGCGATCGACCACCGCGTTTTAACCTGTACACCAATTCTGAAATCCCCAGAGTGAATTAATATCTCGGAAATTCTAAAGGTACTTACAGATTAGTGGAAAGTTGGAAAAGAAGCCGAGTGCACCAAAGAAAATAATTGTCTGGACGCATGATACACTTTTTTCTCACTTATCTACTTACAAGCTATGTTATCGTTTACTATGAACCTTAATATCTTACTTGTTCTCACTTTTGAGCAAACAGACGAAAAATCAGTAGCATTAAAACAAGACGTTTTCTCTCTCATACTAGCTAGGGATTTCGAACCACTGTGACCACTTTTCAATCGATCACTATCTTAGGTTAAAACCCATTCTTAAAGAGCATTTAGGTAGCCAGTTATCACATATTATGCGATTTCAGCAGTTCTTCGATTCGTTTCATCGTCGTAGTCGGATGTCACATCAGTGAAGTTGTCCAGTTCGTGGTGGGTTCCGCTACAGCCTCACTGATCTGACGTTCCTTCATTTCACTAAAATTAAATAATCCTGGTTGTGGTTTTGTTTGGAACCCTCAGATAATCACGTTAGTTCGTTTCCAGGTCTTCATCACAGGCAGTACACCTGTCTTCTTCTGCTGGATGATGGTTAGATATATCTAAAGGAATACTCTTCTAGCATTGGCGAATGTAATTGAGAGACGATCGAGGGCCAATCAATGAGTGCTGCCATGAAAAGTTATCGGTCTTATTCTCAATATTGAACTCAACGTATATTACCACATTTTGCAATTTTTCATAATTCCTGGTCATCAATACTACAGAATATACGCAATATTAACATAATTTCAATAAAGCGAACGTAAAGTGTACACCTTAAAAACGCCAACGACAATTTCTGATAAATCTGTGGAAAGTTGCCATCGATATCGTAGTCCTGATTTTGTAAGTCCCATGCCGATTTCTTAGTTATGACCTCTGAGCAGATAATAGCCAAGCTAAATGTGTAAGTTATCTGTCGTAAACTAATTAAGCTGCGAATAAACGAATGTTAATGAAAGGGAAACAGATGAGTGCTAAGGCTACAAAAAGGAAAAGTGTCCAGACTAATAGTATCTTCTCTTCAAAAATTCCAATAGCTCCTCTTTTTGTCTTGTGTGAGGACATCGTCTTACAAAAGAAACTGTTCTATTCCAGTTGATCATTGAATTTGTCCTAATTCGTATTTGTCAGATTATAACGAAATGAAATGGTCGCCACATTTATGGCATAATAGTACCAAGGTCTAGCAGCGGTTCTTCATTCCTTGCTGGGTGGTCGGTTTTCGTGGAAAAGTCCTACTCGCTCTCGTCCACCGTGGTGTTTGAAGTAGTGGAAATTACACTAACAATGAAAGTTGCTAGTTTTTATTATTGCGAATGGAACAGATGATGAACGTTATTATGGAGATGTTTGGTCGAATACTTTGTGCAGAGGAACAACTATTTACTTATTATGTGTAGCACTAAGAAGAAAGAATCACTTCTCAAACAGTCACGGAAAATGAAAAAGCTGAAGGCAAACCATTTAGATGGCCACGAATCATGATATGGACATTTCTGCCAACTCGATCATGTGAAAGAAAAAAAGAACAAGAAAAACGTGATCCGGCCCACGCTTCGCACGAATAAGCTCAAAGTCATGGCGCGAACAGAAAATCTTCTCAGAGAGTTCGTTAGCATAGGAATGGAGGTTGATAATTTTTTTTCCAATGTTTTACAACATGATCACCGCTTAGGTCTGTAGCTGTCGAATTTCATTAGAACGATCACACTGTCTGGAACTCAGCAAAGAGCGAGCCTTGATAGTGACAAATTCCTACCCTTAGTTAGTGAAACCAAAAGGTTTGTCATCGGATTAAAAGTGTGACGCTTTTAGTGTTCCATGAGCAAGCGAAGTCTGCTGTGCACCTTTGACGGATTCTAGTGCAACATTTAATGCAATTTGTTGTCCGACCTAATTGGTAATTAATGGCTTTGATGGCGTGATTGGTGATGGACTTAAGTTCGAGCATGAAAATACTATAAATCTGTAAATGTCACCCATTTTTGTTGGTGGTAGAAGAGGATCGCGTATATGTTCTGGAGCAAGCCATAGATTGCCTGAAAACTATATATTGCAGCAGCCAAAACAGTGAATAGATAAGTTTTAAAATTAAAATAAACATAAAGTTATAAAGAACTAAGGTTCAAAATCTACCTGACTGTTCCCTAATTTCCTTTGTTTTGATAGCTTGTAGGCTGAAGAAAGCAACCCTAACCTGTAAAAGTTTAGCAATGTATCGACCCTTATTTACCATAATCATCGATGGCTTTCATAGGTCAAGTTAAACATAGGATGAAGACCAAACCAAATCCACAGGCGGCTTATGATTACGGCAGCTGTAGAAAATTTTCACCTGCCATCTTTCATCGACCAAACAGCTTTTAGAGCTCAACCAACCATGGCTCCAAATATCGAATGATGCAGAAAATGAATAGCCTAAAAATTCTCTGCTAGCACTTGTTCTCTTGCAAACCATAGAGTCCCTATTCTTGGAAATCCCATTGAAAATCTCACCTCACAAATATCACGTATGAGAGAATATTTAAAAAACCAATCCATTTGCATATTTGCATTGCGCCTTTATCGATAACATTCTGAAAATGGTCTTTTTAGAGTAGGCGCTGGCAATGTGAACAGAGACGGATAGTTATATTATACTATAAAGTTAGATTGTGTAGTTAGATTTTTAGATTTTTTCTAGATTTTCAGATCATTAAATTATTAATTATAGATAAATAGCAGATATATTATAATTTTAACGCTTTATTTCGTGCCTAATACAATTTTATGCGGTGGCGTGTTATCTATGATATAGCCACAATTATGCTGAGATATTTGCAAAACCCTGGACCGCAGGTGTCTGCGGTGGGAAAGGAACGCGCTACTACCTTTCCCGGGGTCTAAAGCATTCACCATCCTACCATGCGGGTCCTTCGTTTCGCCTGTCTCTCACCATATTAAAGATGTACACTTAAAATATTACATATACATAGTATTATATGTATTACATATTAAAGATGTAAATGATTTTAAAATCAACAGGAAATGACTTCTGAACGAACCTTCAATGATCCCCGGGAGCAGTATTTCCACAATGATAAGAGCTGCGATTTATTCATCGATAATCCAATAAAGCCGCATAGATTGTCATATTCCGTACTCCTCATCTGTGAAAAGTTTAGTTCGTTTTGTACTTTATTATATCTTTTTAATTAGATTTATGCTATAGTAAACTACGAGCCTAATTTTGTGTAAATTTCTGTAGAACCTCACAATAGTTTTATGGTTTCAGTCTAGCCTTAAAAAACAACAAATATCTTATCAACGTAAATCTAAGCAAGCCATAATGGTCCTTGTTCCTTTCGCAAGAACAGCAAGGATCTGGATTTTATGTCTGTCACGTCTTCTAGTCCAGTTTTAACGTTTCTTACTGGCAAGTGTATTACACTACTATGTCACCTTTAAACCACGTGTTGCGCAGTGGTTGGAAGTGCCCAGGAATACACATGGGTTCCATCCTACACCCAAGGTTTACCTAACCCTTCAATACCTCCCGTGTTAGTAAATTGCTAACAGACCTATCTGGGAGAATAGTAGCACTGACTCGATAAATCGGTTGCCAGGCCATTGCGAGTCATTGTAAAAACCAGATATGTACAAAAGGGAAAAGTAAAACAAAACTTTCTGTAGAAGCAGTTTTAAAGAAAACAAATGGGATTTTACTAATTTGTAGTTCTCATCACTCATACCATCCCCAGCATATTAAAAACCATCATTTCCCACCTTTGTGAGTTTCGCACAGTCATCTTTAGTCGGTGCTGGTCTCGCAGTGTGTACCTTCGCAACAACCGATTCCTCGCTAAACACAGAATAGGTGACGATGCGTGTCCTGACCGTATTCTTGGGTATCTGTTTCATAGTTCATAAAACTTGAACTATAGAGTAGTGGAAGCGCCTTATTGATGTTAATTATTCAGCTCAAGCAATGAAAAAAACACTCATGGGTTAAGGTGAGTCGGTTTTAAAAACTATGGATTCTTAACAGACTAATCAACAATTATTTCTAAACAAACCCTTCTTAATCCGATTGTCACCTTGGTGCTGGTGGTGGCTGTACTCTGGAGCGAGCGTGAACTCAAAGCGGTACTCTAAATTGCAGATAACAACGTTTTAAAGGCGTAATAGACCTTCTTTTAAAATTTGTAAGCTATTATCATACTAGATTCGGATTGCTAGATCATCCTCCAACTAATTGCATTAATCGGTCCCGTAAAAGGAACAGCCCCGCGTTGGAACAAGCCGATGCCGCATGGTGGCAAATTTTCCTGCTGCTCTACACAAAGGCAAACGATCGAGGGTAACAACCTGGGAACGCTATACTACAGCCATCTCCGGATTAATTGGGCTTTACCAGAGCTTATCACGTCAGTAACGGCAGAATAGCACAGGTGCTCTAGTTACTTTCAAATCCACCCGACAACCTCCGTGTTTTGACGTTATATTGCAATGAAACCAATAGGAGATGAGATGTGCAGTGGCTTACACCTCAGAGATCCTGTACGACGCAGCACAAACTGTAAGGAGTTGAATGAAATCAAGCGGTTATGACGATGCACACGCACATTTCTTTATTGGTAAATGTGTTTCTGATTTAGAGAGTTGAACGTCCTTCTCTCGACTGTCTACCTGCATTGCCCATGACTATGATGGTGACCCAGGAAAACCACTAACATAGTTGCCACGAAGTCTAAGAAAAACATGACTTGCCAAACCAATAGAGTTAAATATTCTAGAGATGAGATAACTCGTGAAAAGTAATTAGTAGTAGCACCATGAGCTTTGCGGGCTCCAGCGCTTTTCGTTTCATTCTCTCGCGACCGTTATTCTCAGACGCATTTGATTCTCTATATAAAAAATTGATTACGGTTTAACTATTCATAAGTTTTTGTCTCGTTAAGATACTGATTGCTAGCTGACTGCAATTTATCTGGCACGCCATGATAGCACTGCTACAACGTTGCCGGGTCTTAATCATAGGGTATCACAGGGCCACGTAGAACACGGAGAGATTGGATGCACTGTAACAAGGACTTTTTTGGGAGGTAAGCAGTTTGTCTGATTAATTTACCGACAAATCGAGAAAGATCTAAAGCGCACCGAATCCGTACGATGCATTATTTATAGAACTTCGACTAATTGGATTCATCGCTGGACTTAAGTTTCTCTATTCTTCTGATACCTTTAGATTCCGCTTTTCCATAGTGTTGAATGGAATTTTCCAAAGTTTGTTTAGGCGCTCATACTTTATTCTCCGATATCTCAACTGCGAGAGATCTTAGAAAATATAGAAATGTGACCGAAATCAGAAAGATAAAGAATAAAAAGCTAGAGTGGATGTCTTACCGTACCATACTTGAGAACTGAATTTCAATCAGTTCGCAAACGATATCAAATCGAATAATCTTATCGATAAAAGAAGGAAAAATAGAAACAGTTGTGGACATCTGTACAGATGTTTCTTTGCTAGAATCTTGTAAATTCGCTAGTGAACGGCTCCATGGAAACCTTAGAAATAATGCGACTGCCACGACAGCGATAGCGATTGGTACGATGTTTGCGACGAGAGTGATGGCCAGGTACTTCTCGACGAATGACGGCGGACAGGCACTCCTTAAGAAAAACTTTGACAGAATCAAAGGAAATAAAGAAAGACATCGTTGCTTTTTTCAACTCTTCAGCTTAATGACAAATGCCAATGTTTACTTATCCAGTTGAACATTGAATAAGCGGTGAATTCTCTAAGAATGTGAAGTTTATGTGATAATAAAGGATAAAGGATAAAGTTCTTAACGTTGATCAATCCGTGAGGGAAAGAGATACCCCATGCATTCGGCTTCATTCAGCATCTTTTGAAGGTGATCGAATGCATATCTGGCTTTTTACAATAGCTCGCCATGTCCTACCAGTGTATAGAGCCAGTGCTGCTATCCTCCCAGACAAATCTGGTACCAATTTGCCGACCTCGGAAAGATGGAGGGCTTGGAGGGCCAGGAGAGGAAAGAGGGGAATGGATTCCACGTGTGTGTTGCAGGGCACCTCCGACCACTGCGCCATGCGCTCCCCTAGTTTGTGTGAAGGAGACAAAAAACTAAAACATAACTCAGTTATGGTAAAGCCATAAATGCATTTCTTAGCAACTTAGCTTATCCTAGTTGCAAACTTTGGTTTTCTGACTATCATTCTGATTTTTTTTGAGATTTCGACTTTTTGATTTCGAAAAACTTGAAAAATTTTCTGGCTTGAATACATACAGTTGTTACAATTCTACATCTATTTCCAATTGTCCTTGTATGCGTACATTAAGCTCCAGTTTTAAGTGGAAGCAGCGCGAAAGTCCTTTCTTGAAAAACATTTATATGAGACAAAAACGAAAGAAATTAATGAACAAAACCATCATAATCGCAAATTGGTCGATGCAGAGGAGGAGAACCACCATTGTGAGCCCAAATCACTGACGCAGGCTGCACGTCTAGAATCTGACTAGGGCAAAAGTCAATTTCTTGTAACTGATTAACTAATTTGATACAATATATATAACTCACAAATGAGGTGCTCATATTTTCCATGTTCTCGTTGTTTCTCATGAGAACAATTTGTTGATCATCAGCGTCCAGCCCATAAACCAAAAACACGGGATCTCGGGTGAAATGACCGTTAATGGTTACCTCGCCAGTGAAACCTAAGACTTATCGAAATAGCCAACTATCTATTGATGTGACAAGTAGATCTATGCGTACCGATGAATGTACTTTCGCAAACTGATAAAGGTATAGTAGAATGCTTTGCAATACAAAAAATCGAATTTTACAATTATCATATACCTGAATAGATAAAAAACCTATATCTATTGTTTTCGCGATGAAAACAAAACGACTTGAAAGAGCGAACAGTGTTTTCATCTTTTACCTTTCAAAAATCTAAGCATTCGCTTCACAGTAATAAGTTTCTAGTGCAGGAAACCAGTTTTTCTTTGGGCAGTTAAACCTACATGTAGTTGTTATACAACTTTTATTTTGATAACTTTTCGACATCTTCGTTTTTTTGAGCCGACGGGCTAAGCCGATGGTCTACAGTCGTAGTACTCGAGTTGTGGGTCTTAGTTGTCGCACCGAGTCGAATCTTCCTCAGTGGAGCTCCGCTCGAATGACAACCTCTTTTGACATTGCTCCTTTAATACAAAACGGTTGTTGACTGATTGTCGACTGATAATGATTTTTTTTTCATGTCGGCAATCCGCTCAGTAGCAATCGATATTGGAAAGGGTAGCACATAGCGAAATAAAACTTTTGCTAAATTGGTTTTTGACTTAATGTCGACTTGAAAAACTACCATACTGTGTTGGATTATTCAGCTTACGCAAGGTTGTTGTATAACTCTGCTCGCCTAAATCTTGTTATAGTTTGCACTCCTCTATTGCTTTCTTTCTTCGTGTGATAGAAATCTGTTGTTGAGCTTTTCATTCACATAGATAGTATTTACCACTGTCGTATGCTGCACACCCATATTTGTAATGACAAATACAGGAAGTACATTCTTGTCCCTAAGTAAACCTACATTTGCCTGTTTTTTCACACCTTCATGGCCGTTACAATGTGTAATTACCCAAGTTTGAGGTCCAAACTGCAGTACGGCAGATAGGCACCTTGTGTGACGTAGCAAAAAAATCGAAGCACATCAAGATCTGCTAACCGATATACTATTTGCCATTTTAGGTAATGAAGGATTTCTGTATATTGAACGGCTTTGCTCAACAATAAGTGCGAATTACTTGATCAATTCCAAGGTTAACAGAAAGTCGGTCTTGTAAATTACTATTTATTGAGCACTCGGATGGTTAGATAGTCAGACAACTCGTATTCCTAAGTCGTGTGATCGCAGCACTTACTCCGCTCGTTCAGCTGTAACAGTTACCCATGAAGGTGACTAGATTTGTGCACGTGCTCAAATACAGTATGAAGATGTCGTTTTCTATGGCCACCTAAACGGCTCTGGCCAAACCAAGAAGAAATATGAAAGCTTCTGACGCTTACTCGAGCCACTCAGTTATTAATAGGACTACAGTTAATGCAGACAATAGTATATTTGAAGAAAATTTTAAATTATGGATTTGCAGAGGAATTTCAGGGTTAAAATCTTTGAAAACTTTGGCAAGTTTTGATGTGTCTAAAACATTCCCGATATCTCGTTTGCTCAACGTGGAGCCATTTTTTCATTGCACTCTGTAAGAAGACCTGTAAAATATTTTGTGCTCACCTTCGAAGGTGCCCTTCGCGAAACGCACTAGCTCTTCACCAGAAGGGTTCAACAATCCGGAAGCAATTGAACGAATCAATGCGGTAGTGCAGAGCAGCATTACATCCGCCAATTCAGTAACTTGAGAGCCAACCTAGTAAAAGGAACCAAGGATTGCATTCTTTTCGGGTAGTTTTTAAAGTATTAAAGGCTTGCTACCGTGTTTTTCCTTTAAAAAAACATAGAGTGGTTGAAGAAGTTGTTTCAATCTTTATCACATTTCTCTTCTTCGTTACCTATATCAAAATCACTTAAGAAATCCTGCGGATTTTTTGGATTAACCATGCTTCTTCGATGTTTTTCTTCAATAAGCAGACACGAGGTTGTTATTATAGAATTTATTAGAATACAATAGCTAACGTTTTAGCCGTTTCGCCTTCCTGGAAAGGTCAAGTTGAGATGCGATCTGCTCAGCCAAACACTTTCATAACCCCAGCAGATAAAACTTAACAAATAACTTTCTATCCGCATAAAAAACAGCTTCATTTAAACACCAACCGTTTATTTGGGGCAGGGGGATAGGGATAGGGTAGGTCTAGAGGAGTCGGTAGCGATAGTTGAAATACCACCGACTACTGTACGTCGCCAATTAGTTCGCAACCGCCTGTATGTATCCTATGCGTGCCTAGTCTGTGTGAAACAACAAATTGCGTAGTTTGCCCTTACGGCAGGGACGGTGATTGCATGAGTTTAGGTACGATATACCTGATCTCGTGTAACAATTGCAGAGATGAATATATTGGCGAAACGGGCAGACCTTTGTGTATCCGTATAAAAGAACACCTAGATGGCAAACGAAAACTAAGACGAAGCACCCCACTAGGCACGCATAGGATACAAAAGCATAGCGGAGACGATTTTGAAGTAAAAGTCAATATCCTTGCATAGGAGTCCAAAACACCAGCGCGAAAACTCCTAGAGGCTTTTTGGATCAATGCCAAAAACCCTACAATGAATAGCAGGGACGAATGCCCGGAGGTCATACGCGACCTGACCCCATATGTTCGCATCAATTTCTGATATGGGATGGTGCAGTCACCACCATGTTCGACAAAAATCAGCTGTTCTAAACTTCCTCATTGGATGTCGCGAAAAAGCGGTGCGTTTTTCAAAGAAGTTGTTGATTATGTAATTACCGGAGAGTTCTTCGTCTTTGTGTAAGTGTTATTGAAGCGTTTGGCCTAGTAGATTGTATATCAGTATACCCTTCCAGGCTTTGAAGAAGGGGCGAAACGTCAGCTAGCGTTGTATTGTATTGTGTTTTTATGGAAGTAAATGTATGCTGTTTAAAAACCTCGCGATTGCTGAACGAGAAAACGACATCTTCATACTGTATTTGAGCACGTGCACAAATCTAGTCACCTTCATGGGTAACTGTTACAGCTGAACGAGCGGAGTAAGTG